ATGAGGGAGTTATTCCCCATGAATGTGGAGGATTCAGATCGGCCCTCCGACCTCACTGACCTTCCCATCCGGGTGAACTGGAACGCAGAGCTTCCTGCTAACATCAGCGTTCCCAGAGTAGATCTCCACAGCCTGATCCTGGACTTCTCTGCTGTCTCTTTCCTGGACATCTCCGCTATGAAGGGACTCAAAACGGTACCAAGTCGTCAAAAGCTGAACTCAATTTCTCTTATGTTCATTGCCTTGTTTTTTATGCTGCTGCAACGCAAACATTTCTACCTACCTACCTACCTACCTACCTACCTACCTACCTACCTACCTACCTACCTACCTACCTACCTACCTACCTACCTACCTACCTACCTACCTACCTACCTACCTACCTACCTACCTACCTACCTACCTACCTACCTACCTACCTACCTACCTACCTACCTACCTACCTACCTACCTACCTACCTACCTACCTACCTACCTACCTACCTACCTACCTACCTACCTACCTACCTACCTACCTACCTACCTACCTACCTACCTACCTACCTACCTACCTACCTACCTACCTACCTACCTACCTACCTACCTATAAAAGAAATAGTCAAGATTCAATAACAATATGTTGAATACTACAAAGCAATAATATTATTAGCACTGTTTACATTAAATAATATGTACTAGTTACAAATACTATGAAATACTAGTTTGAATAAACCAAATCATTTATTGAAATTATTATTTATTGTCATTTTTTTTTGTCATCTCTGCTGTGACACTTTTTCAAGACATCGCTTCTTTGTAAGAACAACCAAATAAAAAAATGAATAGACAAGATTCAATAACAATATGTTGAATATAAAACAATTACTTATTTATGAATGAAAAAACTCAGCCATGAGACAAAAGAAACCTGCCACACCTAATTCATTGAGAATCCACTGTATATGTGTGAATTAATTGCAATAAAATAGAGCCAACGTACTTGTATTTGTATCTTACTAATTACAAATCTCATACAATAACGGGCTTTTTTATTCCACAGGCACTCAAAGAATTTGTCCGTGTGGAAGTAGATGTTTACATTGTCTCTTGTGATGGTGAGTTTCACGAATGTTTCTTAAAAAGCTTAACATCTACAGTGTAAAGTGGTGCACAAAGTTCACTACACTAACTTGAGGCTTTCTCGGATTCACCCCAATGTAACTGACTCTTGCAATAGGTGCAAACAATCCCCAGCCAATCATTCCCATATGTTCTGTCTCTGCCCTAGGCTCACCACATTCTGGTCCGATGTCTTCAAAACTCTTAGCACAGCATATAATACTACTATCCTTTCAGATCCTCTCTCGGTCTTGTTTGGTGCCCCCCTGCAGCCTGTCACCTCTAAAGTTATACAGACTGTTCTAGCCTTTGCCACCCTGTTAGCCAGGCGACTTATACTCCTCCAAGCTCAACCTCCATCTCATAGCAGGTGGGTGAAAGAAATGTTACTGTCCATTAGACTCGAAAAGCTTAGGTTTTCCCTCAACTGCTCCTTAAGTTCTTTTGAAAAAACGTGGAGACCTTTCTTAAATCATATTGAATCTCTGACATCCCTGCCTGACTGTGACGACTGAGCCACCCCCCCCCCCCCCCCCCTTTTTTTTTTCTCCCATACTTATGTATTTTGTACTGTTTTCCTTTTGTGTACTGAGAAGTGTTCTCCTTTGGGTGGGATTGTGGGAGGGATAAAATGACGGGGGAAAATGGAAGAATGGAAGTTCTCTGTGACACTGCTCTGTTGTTTTGTTGGTCTAATTCAGGGGTTCTCAAAGTACGGCCCGCGGGCCAATGGCGGCCCTCGGAAATGTTTCTGGCGGCCCGCGATAGTTAATGTGACACGCTGAAATGCATGCGTTATATTTTAATCCTCCATGGTTGTATCTAGTAAGAATTAGAATGGAATTTAAGAATGGTAAAACTGCGCCCCCTGGGTTGTCATTCCTAAATTATGAATGACAGCTTGTGGAAAGTTTGCTCGACTACTGGTTGCATGGCAACTAGGCATCTCGCGAGTTGCGGTAATTGGTTAGTAAAGAAAGAAAGGATTTGTTTTGGAATTATTTTGTGTTCCGTTTTTTCTTGGGCGGCCCTCAATCCAATATTGGGTACCTAAATTGGCCCTCACTCATCAAAACTTTGAGAACCCCTGGTCTAATTGCTTCCAAAAAAGAAAGTTGATACAAAAAGAAAAAAAGCTCAACATCCCATAGTTAAAGTGTCCGTAACAAGCTTCCCATGTGTCGACAGCGTACATCCTGGAGAAACTGCACAGCTGTCTGTTCTTCGACGAAGAGATCCTGACCTCCATGTTCTTCCCGACGCTTCACGACGCCGTGCTGCATGTTCTTGAAAAGCACCAGGAGGACAAAGGAGGCCGGGTGGTAAAGAAACTATTGTTATAAATATTATAAAATCGTTTCTGGAGTGAGATCAAGTCACGTTCAGCTTTAGGGATAGCTAATAGGTTCATTATAATAGAAGGTATTATTTCTTTTTTTTATACAATTATGAGACGTTTGGAAGATAAATGGCCTTAATAAATCAAATGAAAGTGATAGTGTAATATGAATGTAATTTAAATGCATGCAATAGGCTTACTGTTTCTTTATATAAGTGTAAATACATTGTTTTTGCTCCTGTCCTCCTTTGCCCTCTGATGCAGCTGACCAACCTTGAGCAGCCGTAATCCCCCTTAAGGAGGGGCTGCCCTAGTTGTTGCCAGTTTGTGACCGGGCACCTCTCGGTCAGAGATAGTTATGGTTGTGGGACACCTCCTTCTCTGGGTGTAGATGACCCCGAGCCATAAGCGACAACAACTGTGATCCAGTGTCCTCAGCTGTTTAGTCTCTCTATTGAAGAATGTTGATTATTACACTCTGAACTAGTTAAAACCTGGAGCTACAGGAGGGCTCTTCAGAATTGATTGTGGCATCTCTGTGGTCAACTCGTGGCCCGTGACATGTCTTGTGAATTCTCCGGCCGAAGCTCCAAATAAACCGTCAGTGTTTGCCATCAAAGCTCCAGCTCTCCTCGTGTCTCTCTGAGTCCTGACTCCACTTGATACAGAAGTTTCCCCTAGTTATATTAAAATAAAATCACAATGAAAGTGTCAATGTTGTCCAGCAGAAGGCTCGTAACAAATCATTATGTAATAACTCACATTTTCTTCACTTCATTATGTAATAACACTCGCATTTTGTAGTAAATACTTTGATTGTCACACATTAAACTATATGGCAGTAGTTATTACAAAGGTGTTTGTGATGAAAATGTAATATTACATGCAAAACATTTTGAAAGAGGCAGGACTAAAACCTCTTATTGAAACTGTATATCTAAGATGAGTGTATGTAAAGGGACCAATTATGTCTCAATGCAACCATTTTAAAAGAGTAGATATAAGCCTGTGTTTTATAGTATTTATATATACCTTTTTTTTTACTCTAACACTCTGTTCTTTTCAGATAAAAGACACCAAACTCTAGAAGAACCATCTCCTGGAGCATCCTTTCAAAATGACCACATCATATAGAAAATATACTGTAATATAAAATGTGTTTTTCTCATCACAACATAATCAATAAAACTAATGTGTGTTTTCAGTGGGTTTTGTTTTTGAAATGCTTTACTGCTGTCCAGTGTTTCCCATACATTGATTTATTTGTGGTGGGCCGCCACAATTAAATATCGTCCGCCACAAATTGATGTCATAAAAAAATAATAATGCATCTTTATTTTTTATTTCGTGGTCTAACGCAGGGGTTATTTCCCAAGAGCCCCCCCAAATGACTCCTGTTGGAACAGCGGTAATTAAAGTTTAAAAGTCTCTAAATGCTACAACTGTCACAAACTGGATGAATGTGAAGTATTGTGTTAAAGGAGGGTGAAAGCGTAATTAAGGAGCACTATTGGAGTGACTTTGATGGTTATTGGACTCAGGATTCATTCATTTGGATTCCCGCTGTATGAAGAAATGAAAGGACGGCGCAAGTGGAAACAATTCACAAAGGGATTAAACTGTTTAAAACACATGCTCAAAGTAAGCCGGATTTTGCCGATGTGTTTATGTGGATTCAAAGTCGTAAATAATCTACAAAATGGAGGAGAGCGATCTGATCGGAGCAACTGTGACAAATAATCCATCTGAAACCGGCATGGACAATGACGGTTTTAAAAATGCGCTTATCCAGAAAAGCCCGGTTTGGACACTTTACGGGCAGAAGAAACATTTCTATAGAAATAATTATACATTTCTGTCTTTTTATGCCTTTAATACTAACTTGAATTTGTATTCAAATTAATTAATCAATTATTTTTTATTGTAATGTAGAGACAAGGCTTTTAGTGACAATGTATTGCGTTACAATTATATGTAAAAAAAAAAGTCTAAATATGAGATTTGGCCTAAAATTATCTGAGGCCTGGCGCCCCCCCTGCGACCTTTGGCGCCCCCCAGGTTGGGAACCACTGGTCTAACGGATAGTGAGGTGGGCTGATGATCGGAAGGTTGCGAGTTCAAATCCCGCCTGGAACACCACTACTAGTGTGCCCTTGAGTAAGGCACTTAGCCCTCAGTTACTCCAGGGAGAATGTCCCTGTAATCGGTCATTGGAAGTCGCTTTGGAATAAGGCGTCTTCTAAATGCCTAAATTATATTTTTGGGAGAATAAACCCCACAGATCCTCAACTCCGGTGTGTCTCACTCATTAACAACGCAACACAGAGCAACAAGAACGTTGTCAACAGTAGTCATGAACTCGCATGCATTTTCTTATTTGAGGGGGGGGGGGTGGATACTTCCATGTCATCTTTATAACAACCAGGCATATGTGAATATATTAAAAAGTAACATACATTTCAGAAAACCTGTTTTAATCACCAAGATGTAATGACTACTTATTCTTCTTAAGGGTTCAAATGTTTTGTCAAAAACCCGTCGTCAAGCAGAGAGGAGATTTCAATCTGCTGTTAAAAATTTATTGAGACACAGTAAGCATTTTTCAATGTACATGTACACAATGCATGAAATCAGCCGACATATATACAGAAATATTTACCTTACACTATTTAAAAAACAAAAAGAAATAGGACATTGCTGCTCTCCTCAAAGTCTATTGTATGTTCAACTAAAATGTGCAGCATTTACAGATTTCAGGGCAAATGTCGTATCAAAATGAAAGTCCTATTGGAAAAAACTCAATCGTTAACTTTAAATGAAATGTCAACAAATTACACATAATTGTATGATGTTAGAGTTGATTTTTTTCTAACTCAATACAATAATGTGGAATCTGTTGACTTAATACGTTTAATGAAAGTCAACGGTTCAGTTTTCTCAGTGTATGCTGTAACCCTGAGGTCTACGATCACATTATCAGACGAGTGGTGTGGAGCAGGAGGATCCCGGTCATTCAGTCGGCTGTTTTACTGATAATAAGGCCGGTAGCGACCCTGATCTGGGTGGTGGGGTCCGGGCATTTGGCCCTGGAGAGGAGGACCCTGCATTCGTGGAGGTGGGGGCCCTCTGGGAGCCGGCCACATCCCAGGACTGAGGCCTCCTGGCTGGGTAAACGGAGGACTAAGAGTGCCCTGGTCCTCTGGAAACTGCTGCATGGAGTTTGGGTTGTAGTGATGAGGCGGTGGGGCGTTCACAGGGGGCCCGCTGTGTTGGGGTGGGGGTCCCGGGGGAGGGTGGTTCATATAGGGGGGCATCTGACCCATGATGTGCCCCGGTGGAGGGGTGATTGGCGGGGGAGCGGAGGACATGGGAGGAAGAGGGGCCTGGTTGTACACCATGTGAGGCGTCCCTGATGCCTGGGGAGGATGCTGCATGGGGTGATTAATGGGAGGTGGTGGGGGAGGCGGGGGGCCAAAGTGCTGCTGTGGTGGCGCCATCATGTGGTGGGAGTGGGGTCCTACAGGCGGCTGACCGGGATAATCCCCCGGGTGATGGTGGGGGGGCGGCTGCTGCTGCTGCTGCTGCTGCTGCTGCTGCTGCTGCTGCTGCTGCGGGGGGCCCGGGCCAGCATCACGTGAAGAAGAAGAGTCGTCGTGAATCGGCACCGTGATGAGATTGCTGTGTTTTCGTGTCGTTACGGTGGCGATGCGGAATGTCTCGGGTCCAATAGCGCTTGCGGGCGGGGCTTCGTGAGCGGCAGGTGGCGGTGGTTGGTTGTAAGGGTCGTGGCTGCCGTGCTGCAGAGGGTTGGGCAGGTGGACGTGGTTTTTGGCTAAGTGAGGAGGAGGAACGCGGAAACGGTCCAGGACTTCGGAGGCAGGCGGGGGCAGGTGGACGGGGTCCTGGCGGCCAGAGGAGGATTTGGGGGCCCTCATGTGACGGTGGTTCACGTGCGCCTGCAGGTCTCGCTGGGACAGGTACGTGCGTTTACATCCAGGTACGACGCTGCACATGTAGAGCGAGCCGCGCAGACACTGCTCGATGCGCTGGACCGGGTCTGTGCAGCTGAACATGGTGAGGCTGGGGGGAGAGGGTCAGATCGTTATGAAACAGGGCAAGGATGAAAAACAGGACAGATTCACAGATAAGAGATTGTTATCTTTCACTGTCAACATGTGTCAATAAGTTGTTGGTAGCTTGTTTATATATCATTTGTAAGTCAATAATATTTGTGTTTATCAATTGGTTACTGCTTAACTTTGTACAGTATCATAATTCTCACGTTTCATTTCATTATCATTTTTTGTTTCACACGTTGGAAATAAATAAATCGAATGAAATTTGCCACAGCGACAATAATACAACTTTAAAATGCCACCAAATAAAGAGAATGTCTCACCCTGGGCACATCTTCTCTCCTTTCTTCTCATGAAGCAAGGCACAGTCATAACAGAACACATGTTTGCAGGGGATCTGAGGAGTAAGAGGACAAAGTTACACATGAACCTTTTTCAGTGACTGCCTACTGAGAAGGTCAGGAAAAGAAATGAATACATACCATCCGTCCGTATAGCTGGATAGGAAGTCCACATTTATCACAAAAGTGAACTGGTACGTCATCCTTTTCTCCAATCAAATGCAACTAAAATGGGGAAAAGACGAAGGTAACAACGGTTAAAACTCCCTCATATACAGTTACTTGGATATCACTCGACTAGTAATAAGGATCTGTCTAGTCTGGTTATTTCTCACTAGGAAGCATTTTTGTTGTCTGACATCACAACAACTTCTTGCATTAGGAGTCTAAACTGGCCGTTGCTTAGTTTCACTGCTCACAAGTGATTACCTTAAAGTCCCAAAACAGTGCCTGGGGGAATCTTCTCTGATTTGCAAAGACATCACCAGCTTTAGCTCCACAATCAAATCTCTCCTCTTGCTTGAAGCCAAATTTCTCTGTAAAACACAAGAGACAAAGAAATGATCATGCCGTTCAGAGAAAACGGAGAAATCCTTACTAAATATCTGGTCTAATTAAATAACATGTCTAATTCACATTTCTCCAAGAAGTGACCAAGGGTCTTGATAAGACTGTGACCAGACGGCGGTGTATTGAAGGTCATGGATTCAAATAGAATATTAACTAACTTCAATGTATATCTCTCACACACACACACACACTCTCAGCAGCGAAACTGTGACGCGCTTACACTGTAGGTGTGCCGCGTTCGGGGGTGCGGTGCTAGTGGAGCCTTGCAGATGGGGGTGCTGCACCCCCCCCCACTGTCCATTCGCGATGTCTCGCAGTCCCCACGCAGCAAGCAGGAAATGATCCCAGCTCACACTGTCCACTCCTCGCAGCAGCGAGCCTCGCAACGTCCCGCCAACACGGCACCCAGACCCCACGCAGCATTCTCATCTGTTCGTCATTACTGGTGTCACTTCCTGGTTGCTAACAAACGCCATTGTAACATAATCACTGATGTTCCGCTGTAACGGTGGTGGACTCATCAGAACAGAGTGGGCGAGCTGACCAATCAGAGCACAGTGGGCTCACATGGAGGGGGGGGCAGGAGCTCCAACAAGGCGTGTAGGACAGAGAGTGAATACACATACTATACAGCACCGGACTCCGGATCGGGACCAAACCACAACTGTCTCTGGACTCTGAGCAAATTATACTTTTCATCTGTATTATCTGTGTTATCTGCGAGACATCGCCACAATGCAACGAGTCAAAATGATCCGCTATGTCCATACACTGCAAAGAGCGCTCTGCATGTCCTGTTCCACTGTCTGTGTGTGTCTGTCAACGCATTGGTCCAATCACATTCAGCATCCAGTCAGCGTTTTTTCCCCCCAAACAATCTGCGAATCAGAGGCACAGTAGGGCGGGTCTTTGCGGAATGCGGGTGGTAAAAATGTGTGTGTCGTCTCTTTCAACCTGTCTGAGTCAGAGCGAGAGTTAACAGCTCATCTAGTTCCATCTGTACTGTAGCTAGTAGTCTAGTTTCACCTACCGGGGTGGCAACTGACACCCTACAAATAGGCCTTGCCCCCCCAGCTGCCAGCTTTGTTTTGAAAGAAAAGTTGTGGCTCATCGGACATTTATGAGAGAAAGTCTCTAATGTCCGAGTGCAAGTGAATGCAGCACAAGATACACATCATGTAACCCCTCCCCTGGCGCGAGCGTGGACATATGATTGACGGCGATTTCATTTGAACGGGACGGCGCAAAACAAGAAGCATTCGGACCCAAGCACTGAAGGAATGAGGTGTTTGTGGTCTGACAGAGAAGAGACTGTCAGTGTGGCTGCACTCAGCATTGAATCAAAACGCACTGAAGCTGTTGATCTTAATACGTTTGTGAGGCGTTTTGCTGAACAAAGTGGTAACGGCCCGTCCACACAGCGGCGTGCGTTGAAGCTTCCAACGCTTCTGCCCATTCACTTTTAATGGGGTGACGTCACTTTTAGCCGAACTGCATTTTGGGAAGCGACGTGGAGCGTTGCTGGCGTGGCTCGCTTCAAAAGTTGAGCAATGTTCAACTTTTGACGCCTCGACGGAGGCGTCAGCCAATCGAATCATATGCCAGTACAAGCTCTAGCCAATCAAACCGCGTGCTTGTGTGTCTGGGGCGGGAGATTCATGTGATTGGTTGTTGGTCGAGTTTCAGACACGCCCGCCGGCAAGCGTCAACGCACGCCGCTGTGTGGACGGGCCGTAATCGCCGCATTCAGCTGTATAGACAACTTGATGCTCTGCTCACGGATGAGCTTACAAAACTATTAAGATGATGACCTTACGCGTGTAAATATATTGTTTTTCTTTGAGGGGGTCTGCCCCCAAAAAACTGTTTTAAGTCCTGAGAAAGTCAAATCAGACGGTGTGTAAAACTTCACTGCCCAGCCAACAGAAAGTAACCACTTTGATTGAACTAGGCCAGTAGGTAAGGACTTTCCACTGGATCATAACTGAAGTATAAAAGAATGCATGACTGAAGTGATGGAGACCATGTTGAAGGCAAACACAAAGAGGAAATAACAGGTCAAAGCAAATCCCCCTCTCAGATTCCACAGCAACCAGAAGAACATAAATACTGGCTGGTGATTTGATTCATCAGCTTTGTGATGGAATAGAAAATGCACAGTGCATTTCCTTAGCTGTGGGTGAGTCCACTGACACCACTCACAATGCTCAGTTGCTGGTGTTTGTGAGTTGTTATGATGAGGCAAAGGGGGAGTTTGTTGAAGATGTGTTGGGCCTGACGAACCTCAGTGGACACACAAGGGGGAATACATTTATAAAGCAATAATGGGAACGCTGAATGAAAGAGGGTGCAGCTGCCTTTATTCATAACTGTGCAGCTCTTACACTGCGACTCTGAGGGGTGAAGCACAGACACAATAACAATAAAAACTGCTGCATACAGATTATTTTAGTTTTTGCAACCTCGTGTTAAGAATCTTGTTGCAATTGTTTAAAAGTTTGAATGACCGTGATAAACGGACCTTTGTCTTATTGAAATATTTATTTTGGACCTTTAAGATTTGTATTTGAGTACCCCTGCTGTACAGAGATGTTGTTTGAGAAACCAATGTGAGTTTGGAACAATGTAAATCTATTCGAGTCGACCTCAACAATGGAATTATGATCGGTAGAAATGGCCGTGACATGGGACCTTTAAGGGTTACAGGAAATCAAGATTGCCATACTAGATGAGTTGAGAGAAGGCAAACAGCATGAAGTAACCATCATTTTTCTCCTGATATTGAATGTTTAATGTGCAACTGCTTTGGCAAACCATCAACACAGACTGTCTGTGTCATGGCGAATACAGTCGCTGGTTTATTTATGTCTGTAGGCCGTTGTTATGAGTGTGGAGTGAGCATATACAACGTTAGCTTAGCCGATCTCCATTCAGAAAACAAGCATTTTAAAAGGTTTTTCGCCTGCCGTCTTGTCAAAGCATTAATTCATAGTTTGTACTAACCGGTATCAGTATGTTGTTACGTCGGCATCATTTAGAAACGTGTATTACATTTTAATCACGGTAAAATATGTTCATTTTGTTGTAGTTGTAGCTCCCGAGCCAGCGCGTCTTGTTTGAATGATGCGAGTAAACACAGCTGGCAGCCGCGGTGAAACTCGAGCGACGCGATAGGAGCGTTTAGAGCGAAGCGAATATTCGCATCGCGTCCGGTCTGAACGCAGCATAACTGAAAGACACTCATGGTAGCACCATAGCTCCTGCTTACCATCTTCTCCGGGCTCCACTTTCAGGGGTCTGCTGCTGGGTCTCTGGGTGCGGGGCGGAGGTTTGCTCCTTAAGGGCTGCTTGGATATGAGTTTGATGGGGATTCGTCTGCGAACATCTGGGCCACCCAAACACCCAGAACCATCACTTCCTTGAAGATCATTGTCTGCCGGGGGAAAAGGTACAGAAACAGTGTTAAAATGGGTGTTATAGTGCACATATTTGTAAATAAGCCACCAAATGAAGATGGCAACAGAGTCAGAGTTTCACCCCTTTGTTATTATTGTTCCAAATGATGACAGTATATTAAAAAAAAGGATGTTTTGCTGATATGATATGATGCAGAACTGCACTACCAATACACACCAATACAAACCAGCATTTGTTAAGTATCTAAAATTGGCTTCACATTGACAAACTTCAACCTTAAAATGCCCTGATGTGAAAAATATAATTGTGTGAAAGGCATACTCTGCATATTGAGTCATTTCACTTTTGATACTGTAAGTACATTTAGCTGATATTACTTCTGTACTTCTACTTAAGTAACATCTCACACTTAAGACTTCTACTTGTAGTGGAGTATTTTAAGGACTTAGTATTTCTACTTTTACTCAAGTAAGGGATCTGAGTACTGCTTCCACCTCTGGGACAGACTAATGAATCAAATCAAATTCCTGTATGAGGGCCTAGCGGTATGTCTTGAGGACCATAAGCTAAACATCTAAGAGGAATTACATTTCAGCACATATTCTGAATACATGTAATACATAATATTATCTCACAGGCCATATAAGTGCTACACTCCTGAGCCTTCATAACTTAAAGCTGTTTGCATTTCATGTATTTATTACTACAATGTACAGTATTTAATTGTGCATTCTGCTTTTAGCTCATATCAGTCCATTTTACAGAGTATATTTAAATATATAGTATATGGTTGACTTCTGCATTTATCTGCACATTGGTCAATTGCAACATCCTCTTTCACTATTTATTTTAAGTTCTGTTTCTTTTGGCACTATTTGTTTTGTTTTATGTCTTATATATATTTATGTAGCATTGTTGAATGAGCTTAAGATTTCCATTGCCATAACTACACTTTAGCTACTGTGCATATGATGATAAAACCTTTGAATCTCTTGAAGTAATGTCAGCTTGCAGCAGTTAGCATTATGCTAACGTTGGTGATGTAGCATTCGCGCCCCAAGTCAGTCGCATCTATCGGTTACGCCTCCAAAACATGTGGAAATGCAATGTTTGCCATTCAACTTCAGGTAGTAACTGCGTAAAATCAGTTGCAACAGTGCAATAACCCTTAACAATTAATTAAGAACTTAACGTTAACTTTTTGTGATCACAGCAGTTGAAACGTTAGCCAGTTCTTAGCTAACATTAGCCTGTAGCATGCTAGCTTTATAACGCTTCTCTGGACGATACGGGGATGTCGTAGCAAACGCGTCTGAAGAAAGTATGATATGTCGTGATTTGAATAGCTAATACGACATAACGTACAACTGCATGGTGGAGAATACATCCCATAAATGAAGTTTTGCTAACGCCCTGCTGAGTATTTTGCTTACCGCTTTGGTCCATGATCCAACGAGTGATCGCAATGCATTGTGGGAGAGATAAGGCGATGAGAAGAGGTGGAGAAAGAGGAAGCAGGAAAGGAGAGAGAAGTAAAGTTAGTAGAAAGTTATTAATTGCTTTTCTTAATTACATGAAATAATAAATAATTAAAAGTTGTGCAAAAGTTAAAAAGCCCTTGTTTTTTTAATTACTGTAATGAACACTGATGTGTATGTACCTTTGTATGATGTTTTGGAATAATTGTTCATACATTTTGAAAAAAAAGTTAGTAAAAAACTGGATTAGATACAAGTAATGTTTTTTTTACAGCACTGACTTTATTTTGGGTAAAATGTCGCATTCACAAGGAGAAATTGAGTGTTTTGAAACCAAATTTAGCAAATGTTTACTCTGAATTACAACAATAAGGCTCCACTAGTTTTACCCTATTTTCTTTATATTTAATGCTATTTTTTTACTCTGTATCCCTGTGTGTATAATATGTTGTAATTATTTATTACCAAGGGCTTATCATAATAAACCTATTCTACTGGGTATTAATGTTTTACAGAATATTATATCACGTAAACACTACTTTTTAACAGTCTTACCGAGAGACGTTTCTTGCTAATTGGTTCTTATGATGAAAATATATTATATTATAGTTTCTTGGCTCTTGGTTAAAACAATAGGAATAATTGGTGTGGTTAGAAGTGAACTATATTCATGTATTATAGAATGAGATTAAACACTATACATGGCTGGTGCTTAAAATGGCCATTATTTGGTATTTGAAGTATTTTTTTAATGCTAAAACTTTTGTACTGCAATTTAGAATGTAGGACTTTCACTTGTAATTGAGTTTGTAATATTTCTACCTTTACTTAAGTAAATCATCTGAGTACTTGTTCCCACCTCTGCACATCTTTTAGTAAAATCCAGGATATTAAAGCAAATCTGTTAGTGTTGTTTGATTTAAATACCATAAAGAATTAACTTCAGTTTTTTTTTTACTGTGGCACGTTGATAGGCATTGTAAGACTTTATTATAGAAATATTTTACTTTTAATTTAATTGACTTTATAACAAAATAGTGTCGCATCATTCCTTCAGTAGAAGCTCCACTGTCTGAAGTCAGTGCGCGTCCCCGGTGTGGGTCTCCTGCGCGCTCCCGTAACCATGTCGCCATTTTGATTCGAAAAATATGACTGAGTTTTTCCTGCTTTGCATGCTAAACTTAGCACCGCGTTTAAATTACTTTGGACGAATTGTACACTCTTTATCCGACTGAGGTATAGTTATTAATGTCAAGGACGCGTTAAGGTCGGGGAAGTGTTTATTTGACAGACTTCAAAGACACTAACTGACTAACGGTAGCTAAGTTGAGCTAAGCTAACTGTAGCTGTCGCCTTTTTTCATAACAAATCACATTTCGCTCACAGTCTGAAACAGACGGTAGGAATAGCAGAGGACTTTCAATCAAAGGTAAGTTGGTCATGAGTTTGTGTCCCTATTTATCGGTAACTCTGCTTCTGTATCGGGTAAAGTTGGACTTAAGTTTGGGAGATATTTAAGTTCAGCTACACGTTAACTATTAGTGGCTAATTAGCTTAGGTGCTAATCAGAGGAAAGGAGGAACTAAAGTCAACGGCTGATAATTTGTTAGCTAAGTGTTTTAAATGCAAAGGTTAGACGTTGATTGTGAAAGTAACCGGTTGAGTTTAACAAAGGGATCCATTAAGATGTTAGATAACTTAACTTAAAATAGTTTATTAATTAACAGCTACAGTTGGCTGTTTAATTTTCAGAATCAGAACTAGTTTATTATTATCTAAGGAATTTACTTTGGTGTGTGATGGTGCAAACATAAGGAAATAAGTTGTAAAAGAAGGTCAAAAATAGAACGATTATAAAAAGAAAATATTAAAAAAACTATTAAATATTAAAAAATAATAAAAACAAGAATTTACAGCAAATATAAATATTCAAAAAATAACCCAAAAAAAACGTTAGCTAATTTGTTTGCTAAGTTTTACCAAGGAATCCATTAAGATATTAGTTATTACTTAACTTATAATAGTTTATTTATGAACAGCTACAGTTGGTTGACATGTACTGTGTTCTTTTCACAATCAAGTGTATTGGCAGTAACTTTAAAACATACAATGAATTAGTGTATTGTGGTGCAAACACAACACAAGTGCACAACACAACACAAGTCAACATAAGTTGTCAGAAAAGGTCGAAAATAGAACGATTATAACATTAAAATATATATAAAAACATGAACAAATAATGTTAACAAGTATTTACAGCAAATGTTAATATACAAAATAACTTTTGTTCAATTCATAAATGCCGCCTGTAGACTAGTATGTTATATTTTAAAGTGGAGTGCTGTGCAGCTTTTTAAGAGGTAGGTTTTTATAAATGTGTGAAATACAAACAGATGAATGCTTCTTATAATGCAGCACAACACATTCCTTATTGTCTAGCAAAGTTAACTAACTCACTAACAAGCTTGAGGTCAGTTAAGTTGTGTTGTTAAGTGCAGCCATACAAAGCTTTGCTGAGTTTCTCAAATCTAGTTACACACAGCTCATTTAAAAAAGAACAAATGGAGCTCTCATTTAAACAACTGTGACAAATGTTAATTAGCCAAGACAACTTTTCAATTAGTGTAAAGTAAACTGGCTTTATCTTGTATTGGTGCCTCCACAGGAGTTGAAGTAAACAGAAATCTGAGCTCCTACTGAGAGTCAGTTGATGTTCACCTCATGCCAAGAGAATGGCCGCTCAGTTAACATTACATTAGCAAAACTGCTGTATTTCTTACTGTTGGAGATTACAAACAACGTTACAACAATGCTGTATAACTCCTTTGTAACAACATATAATAAAGGAGATATACAGGTACAGCATTTTCTGTTACCTGTTAGTGGATATGTATCGTTGAATATACCAGAATCATAATACCTTTATTAGTCCCATAGAGGGGAACATTGTTACAGCAAAAGTAAAGAGCCAGAAATAGCTATATATTAATTAATGTATATAAAAAAAACACAACAGTCTTATTTGTTTCTTTAAATAACTGTTGCATGTCTAAAGTAGTGGGACTGCAGCCAGGTAAGCTTAGTACACATTTAAGTATATATTACACACAGGTATTTCCACATTTGTTACAGTTAGTCAAAATGATCGTTATTAGCTATCACAGGTTTAAAAAAAGGGCCCAAGTTACAAAAGTCTAAAGTGACTGTTTACTTACTGACAGCTATCAAACTTAAAGATAATACATGACGTTCATGGAAGAAGATAACATATTAAAACGCACAAGCAAAGCCATTGGTGTAAGTTCACATACATTTACAACTTCAGTGCAAGTAAGCAGCACAGAAAACTGAAGCTGTTGTTGCTCCTCAGAAGTGTAGATTGTGTGTCTCTAGGTGTCTCTGTGGAATTCCCTTTTGCTTGTATTTCACGGTTTTGGAAATAGTTGTTGTTATTCCACAACACACGTGTCCTTCACATGTGTGCTGTTGTTCCTCTTTTCATCGCCTGCAAATATGCCAGTAGACTGTTTTTGTTGAGGTAGCCTCTGGAGTGTTCTATTTTAGATGTAAAGCCAAGCATTTGCTTTCCTGCTCAGCGTCCACAGGGAGCGTTCAGCAGGTTATTATTGCACTTGTGTGCTCTGTAAATGTATGCCAGATGGACGCTGCTGCTGCTGCATGCGGAGGGAAGGGTCCTCCTCAGGAAAATAGAAAAAGAGGAAGCACTTCAATTTCCCTCTTGTGTTTTACTTCCACGATCAACAGTTGTTAGCATGCTGCTATGAGAGACATGTTAGCTTTGATAAAGCCAGCTGATAAACTAGATGTCTCTTACCGGTGTTCGTCTCGAATCTAGATTAGTCGCCAAGGTAACCAAACGAGACAAACAAAGTCAACATGCTCGTTCTCCATCATTTGAGATACTTTTTACATAGCTTTATAATGATGGACCCATAAGCTGTTGTGAGGTTAAACACAATAATTATTTAAGTTATATCAAATATGTTGATACTGAGCAGTTCAAAAATACATACAAACGTGTTCGATATACTCTCACACGCCGTGTTTGTGCAGATCTGAAGGGTATGTCAACACGTTGTCCTTTCTGATATCTTTTTGCACAGTTGAATAATAATGTCGTCTGCTGTTTTCTGTGTTGTGCAGGTTATGGTGAGCCTCTCAGAGTCTCATCTCCTAAAGAGGCCTGCGTTTTAAGAGGAGACCCATGCTGATAAATGCCAGGCCTCGCCACACTCTCTGTCGTCTGCACAAACACAAATGCCTGCCTGCCCGTGGGGGAGGTCTGATTAAAGATATCCATATTTCATCCACTGGTACGTGTGAGCCTTTTACTCGTTTTTTCTTCTGATATGATAGTCTATGCCTACAATTACCTGGAACACCTTAACCCAGCGGTTTTCAAAGTGTGAGGCGCGCCTCCCCGGGGGGCGCCAGAGAGCTTCAGGGGAGGCGCAGCGTGTGAAAAAAAGAACGAGAAACAGTGAAATGTAGCTTATGTGGTGGGACATTATGGGACATAATTCACCGTGGTATATAGTGTGTGTTGCACCACGGGCCTGTTGGAGAGGTACCTTGTTGTTGTCATTCTAGCTTGACAGTAGCAAGTTATTATTTCCTCTGTAAACCTAATGGAAACTAAAGTGTGGAGTTCCATACTAACCACGCCGCCTCCGACTCCCATTCATCGGCTCTACACTAGTTAAAGGTGGGATAGGTAATTCCCTTCAGAAACACTTTTTGTTATATTCCATGGAATGCTCTTAACATCCCGATAGCAATGCATTAAATGCTTTGACAACAAATACTTTAATTTCATCTGTTGAAGCCGTAGCGCTGTAAAAAGCACGACCCGGGTCAGATAACTGGATGGCCTACCTGCCTGTCAGCCTTCCACCTGGGCACAAACTGATCTCTCATTGGTCATGTGCGCGTTCGTGTGTGTTGGAGGCGGGGCTCTGCGAGGAAGTCTGAAGGAAGGGGCAGATTTTTTTCGGCTGCATACTTTCAAATTCTAGCGCACTCGAGCTGGTTTCTCCATTCTTACCTAGCCTACCTTTACTTCAGCTAACTTTATGCGAGCGGCAACATGGATCGTGTTTTTGTGAAGTTACCTAAAGTGAGAGAGGAGACAGCGTCTGGCGGAAAACGTGTGTCACTTTTGGCTGTGGAGACCGAGTTCCCCCACCTCGCCAAAAAGGCATTACATTGTTCCCACTAAAGTAGGGGTGAGTGTAAGAAGGAGGCAAAGTTGACGTTCAGTGTGTTGCCGGGATCATATAAGGATTTATCCACGATGTTGAAAATGTAAAAAACATGTTTAAAACATAAAGATAAAAAAAAAGTTGTTGTTTAATGTTTTAAGGAGGTGACGCTACTCAGCCAAGCAAATCGGTGCAGTCGGTGAGTCGGCACGATAGAGTCAAACACAGGGACGAGACAAGAAGAGAGAAACAGTCGGAGTCATTTCAAATGGCGTACTCAATTTAATGACATTTTCTCTTACTGGACCCCTTATAGCAACAACAACAATAATACTTGGGAGGGTGGGGCGCGGCTGTTCTTATGTTCTCTGAGGGGAGGCTCACCTTCCCACACTTTGAAAACCCCTGCCTTAACCTATAACCTTGTTTACTTTATTGGATGTAAGGTAGTACTTTTGCCAAAATACCTCATTCATTTCTGAACCAGATTTAAAGATGTCACCTCATCCATATAACGTAACAGCAACACTTCATCATTTAACCTAAAGCTCCTCAAACTATAACAAATATTGGCTGTTTTGTTCAAACAGTTGTTCCTAAATGAAAAAACCCGATGAAAATCTCCATCAAGTCTTCAAGCCTTTACATTAATCATTATAGTTTGATCATAGTAAATATGATTTGAAAATAAGGTTTACAAGTCGATTACTAGGTTGAAGTCCCTTAAAGGAAAGTCTGTGATATAAAAGGACTTACAACAAGTGATGTTGTTCTTGCTATTTTTGGTTTAATCCTCTCCCTCACATCTATACTTACATGCATTTCTCTGCTTCCTTCCCCTTCTCCGCGTCCACTCTTCCCTTTCCTTTGTTACCCTTTTTATTTTCTTATTGTGGCTACTGCTGGGCCTCTCTGCATTTCCCTCCTCCTTCTCCTCTACCTATGTGTTTTTACGTCCTTGACCTTCCCTCCCCTCCTCACTTTCTTTCCCAGGGCTGTGTCCCCCGTCCCAGCGGCCACCATGTTTTGGAAGTTCGACCTGCACACCACCTCCCACATCGACCAGCTGCTGGACAGGGAGGACGTGTCGCTGAGAGAGCTGATGGAGGAGGATGACGTCCTGCAGGAGTGCAAAGCCCAGAACCGCCGGCTGCTCCTCTTCCTCTCCCAGGATCACTGCATGCAGGAGCTGGTCAGCCTCATCACCACAGAGCCCCCCGTCGACCTGGAGGAGAGGAGCCGCTTTAAGTGAGCATTCAAAAAGATGTGCTCAGGGATAAAGGGAACTGAGAACTTCCACACCAACACTGCAATCTAAATATCATTACCATCTTTACAAAACACTCGCTGCTATATAACATGTGCAATTGCCTGCCACTACGTTTTGTTGCACGACTCAATACTGTTAATATTTACATTAATTATGTGACCGTCTGTGTTTCCTGTAGATATTTAATTGCTCTTTTTACTGCACAGTTTTACTATTATGCTGCTGTGTTTATTGTATTTTTGTAACTCTGGTTGCGCTGCACGATTTGGGGAAATAATCTAATTGCGATTTTTCTGACAGATATTGCGATTCGATTTGCGATATTTGTTTTTAAGCGATGGTTTGTTTCACGCGGATACAAGCGGCCGAGATGGGTTTTCTCCGCAGGGTGGCTGGCATCTCCCTTAGGGATAAGGTGAGAAGTTCGGTCATCAGGGAGGGACTCGGAGTTGAACCGCTCCTCCTTCGCGTCGAAAGGAGCCAGTTGAGGTGGTTCGGGCATCTAGTTAGGATGCCACCTGGGCGCCTCCCTAGGGAGCTGTTCCAGGCACGTCCAGCTGGGAAGAGACCAAGGGGTAGACCTAGGACCAGGTGGAGGGATTATATCTCTTCGCTGGCCTGGGAGCGCCTTGGGACCCCCCAGTCAGAGCTGGTTGATGTCGCCAGGGAAAGGAACGTTTGGGGCTCTCTGCTGGAACTGCTACCCCCGCGACCCGACCACGGATAAGCGGGAGAAGAGGGATGGATGGTTTGTTTCACCAAAGCATCTAGGAAAGCTCCATTTGGAAAAGTATTTCAAAAATACTTGGCAGGTGATCTGATCAATCTGTCTATCACCTTCTATCATCGGCCACTTCTGATTGGTTAACAATGACTGGTACATGTGGAGCACAGCACTTCTGATTGGTGTGGATGACTGACACACAAGAAGAACAAAAAAAGAAACATAAAAATAAAATAAATCGCAGGCTTTGCGATTTGATAATTGCATCATTTAAAATCGCGATTTCGATTTAAAATCGATTAATTGTTCAGCCCTAAACTCTGGCACAGCAATTTCCTTTGGGATAAATAAAGTCTTATCTTATTCAGGATGTAAACATGGGAGAATGCAGAATATAACATGGTTAGAAACAGCCTTTCCGCCAGGGGGGGGCGTCTTGCCGTCATTTGACGCCCTTATTCGGCTCGGGACGCCCTGAACGCGAGCCGAGGGCGTCCAAAAATATTAATAATTCGAGAGAAGATCGAGAGTTTTTATCGCTTGAAATGACGAAAGGGAAAAAGGACATCCCTCTGTTGGAGGGGCAAAGGAGTCTGGTGGGATTATTTTCAGAGTATTGAAGATCGTTTCCCCGACATCGGCGGTGCCTGCTACAGGGTAACACGGAACGTGCGCGATTTGGATGCGATGCGATGAGCGGTGCTAGTGGAGCACGCGCGTGAGCTGCGAGCGACGGAGCACGCGCGTGAGCTGCGAGCGACAGAGCCTCGCAGCGGCGAAACTGAGGCTCCGTGATAAACTGTGGTAACATGAAGAGCCGAAACAGCCGGCGCTTTAAGAGAGCCGAGCCAAATGATCCGGCTCACTAACGTAACAAGACAGTATCTATAAGGGAGGGCTCAAGTGTCAAAATTGAAGCACCCCCCCCGGCTCTCGGGTTGGTCGCCCTCTCAGCCCTGATCTGGCGGAAACACTGGATAGAAAGGTACAATTTCAGACCCAGGACAGATCATTTAAAGGGTCAATCATGGACAGAGAGGACACAAAAACTCTGATAGTGTGATGTAACCCTGCCTTCCTTGGCCTTATGTGTCTAAATATGTGTACACGTATACACATAGGAGTATCTAAGTACATACATGTGTATATGAATGTACAGGTTTGTAAGTATTGTATGTGTGTAACTTCCATCTCATTAATTCTCTGTTTGTTTTTTTAAAGGTTTCCAAACATCGCTTGTGAGCTCCTGACGTCAGATGTGTCGCTTATAAACGACAAATTAGGCGCAGACGAGTCTCTCCTCGAGGTGCTTTATCACTTCCTGGAGCAGGACCCGCCCCTCAACCCTCTCCTGGCTAGCTTCTTCAGCAAAACCATCGGCAATCTCATCGCTAGGAAAACCGAACAGGTACGCTGAAAGTGATCATGGCTTAATGAACCCTTAGATGCCCTACACTCTTCCATAAGTGGGTCAAAAAGGACCCATATTAGAATAATGTGTGTGTTTTTATGCAATTTTTACCAAAAATCACTTGTATAATATTTAGTATTATATTTTGGTTCACACTAGAAATATTTTATATTGAATCTTTTGTTATTTATAATTTTTTTTTACATTTGGAAAAAAACATTTTGAACATATCGATGCAAAGATCTCCGCTATTCTGAGACCCTCACAGTATTTCTGTCCCTTTTCAAAACTCATCTCATCTCCTCTGTCTACTCATAGCCCACCCCCCATCAATATATGCCTGTTGATCAAGTTTGATAGTCCTACAGCCCCCCCCCCCCCCCCTAACCTTCCCTTATATTGTAAAGCGATTTTGAGTCCTTGAAAAGCCCTATAAAAATATGATGTATTATTATTATACTGACAGGTATCAGATCTTGCTGTGTAAAATAATCTTCCCGAGAGGTGTCACTTGTGATGTCGTCTGTGTCCTACAGTGAATGTATTCCTGACAGCCACAGGTGATACGAATCAAAGGTTCCCAGAGGATCCCATAGGAAATGCATGCGGGTCATTTTTGACCCACTTATGGAAGCTTGGGGTAGAAATACAAAAACTACAATTTCTTAAAATGTATAACATTTAAATTTAAAATTTGAACGGCATGATATCCAAAACATGTTTTTTGAGGAATAGCTGGAATATGAAATGATAAAAAAATGTAATTACAAAGATACTTCAAGAAAAACCACCTCACCGGGTCAAGAAAGACCCACTTATGCATCTAAGGGTTAAGCATGTAAATAAGCATTCACTGGTATTGAACTGGACAGCAAAACACTGACAAACAGTACAACAAGTGATGTGTTTTGGTAAACAAAGAGTAAGAACTGTACTTTTAACTCTATGTTGCAGGTGATTACCTTTCTAAAGAAAAAGGAAGGCTTCATAGGTCTGGTGCTGAAACACATTGACGCCTCTGCCATGATGGACCTGCTGCTTCGCCTCATCAGCTGTGTGGAGCCCGCCCCCTTGAGACAGGAAGTCCTCCATGTATGCCCTCTAACTATGTCTTCATATAATACCCATAAGTAAACACCTTCTTTTAAAGTGTCTAACGCCATTTATGCTTCCCCCCCCCCCCCCCCCCCCCCCAAGTGGCTGAATGAGGAGAAGTTGGTACAAAGACTCACCGAGCTCATCCACACTGGCAACGATGAGGAAGTGAGTTGTCATTATGAAGAAGCATGAATTGCCACACATTTAAAGTAGTGATCCGTTATAGTTGGGTCTAGAACCTCAATTCCGTGACCATTCTTCTGCTAAGATGTTTTGACACTTGATTTGACATCATTGGACCTTTTATAAAAAATATAGACCCAAGGTCCCTCCCAAAAATCCCGGCAATTTTTGCTAGAGGGCCAAATCCAAGATGGCTGCTCGCGCCATCTTAAAAAATTAACTTTTGAACCAGAGCGCCTAGAGTCATGTGTAAATGCACTTTTTGAGGTAAATCGGCCACAAGGATTCAATTTCTGACATCAGTTTGGTGCGATGACATCGTTCGGACCCACAAATCCAAGATGGCCACCATCCGGTCGAGAAAATATACACGTTTTGAACGGGAACATGCAGGATCACGAGGTACCGGTCACGGCAGTAGAACAAGCACTCACTGTTATAAACTGAAGTATATATATGTACTATATATGGGGGCGGAGCTTCCTACAGGCGATATAGGCGTTTGCCTAGAGCGCCACCCAGAGGGGGGCGCCACAAATAAAAAAAAATAAATAAAAAAAAAACGTTTGCTTGGCGCAGTTTTGGCTCTATATCTGCAACCATTATTTAAAAAAAAAAAAAAATAATCTAACATAAGGGAAAATGAGCCAAAAATCTAAAATGGTCGGTCGGTCTAAGAGCCTCAGCTTTAAGTGTTCACAGTCAGAACATGCTAGAGCGCTGTGCATTGATGGGTATCTGTCAAGTGTTTTTAAAATTGAGCGTTGAGGAAAGAAAGACTAACGTTAGAGAACTGTGAAGAGGCAAAAGCCATCGGGGCGCAGTATAAAAACAGAAGAAAAGAAGAAGAAGAGAAACGTGCCAAGTTGAAAGGTAGGCTATGCTCTTGTGGACATGGGCATGATCTGGAGGATGGCAACTCCATCAGCAGAGGATCGGCGGACGCAAGATGGCAACCCATACAAGTGGTCGGACTATGTCCACAAGCTATCATCTATTATCCTTGCACGCCATCATAATGCTCACCGTATCATATGTGTGAACGACCCGTACGACACAGCATACTCGACGAAGGATGACGAGCGAGACCTGAGGGTACAGGGAAACACACATGTGCCCAACACCTACATGAAATTGGGTGACACATTCCCCACTGCCAGAATGTTCAAGACGCTGCTGTGTAGCTCCAGCAACAAGGGGCGGCTGCAGAAAATGATATGCAGCTACCTGACCGATCTTGCACAGAGTGTTGATGTGGAGATTGTCTACTCTGTCGGCTCCCACTGTACCAACTTATCAACCCAACAACCGATGCAGAACTACAGCTTTGACCAGTCTGAGGCTGACACTGTCCTGTTCTCCACCTATGTAGTTTTGCGCGAGTCAGGCTACAGTGGTCCAGTTGTCATCGATGCCACTGATACTGATGTATATGTTGCGGCAGCACTTATCTCACAGCAGCTGCCAGGTATGCTCTGTATCAAGAGGAAGCAGGAAACGGTACGCTGCTGTGACATGGCAACTGACATGATGGCCGACTGTATTGTGCAGCTGCATTGTATGACAGGCTGTGATGCAAACTCAGGCTTTTACGGCAAAGGTAAGAAGTCTGTGTATGACCAGGTGGCGAAGAGCCCTGTTGCCCGACAACAGCTCTCGCGATGTGGAGATAACCTTGCCCTGACAGAGGAGGTGCTGGAGCAGCTCTTTGCCTTCACACGTAGCATCATCTACGGTGACAACAAGAGCAAAACCATGGCTGAGGCCCGTGCTGCTAAATGGAGGACCATCAAAAAGAAATCCTTCATCCGTCTCCCTCCGGATGCCGACAGCTTGCGTCAACATTGCCTCCGTGCCAACTACCTGGCGTATCTGGTGCGCCATCCATCGCTAAAGCACCATCCCTCACCAATCGGACATGGTTGGGAGCTGGTTGGTGGTTGCTGTCGCCCTGTACGTCACACGCGACCCGCACTCCCGATGCATCTACCTGCACCAAGGCCAACTGAAGAGGGACAGGAAGATGAGGAAGATGAGAGCGATGATGATGACGAAAATCGAGTTGCTGCTGTCCAGAGAGGCGATTCATCGGAATCGGAGGATTCAGAATGTAGCGAGGCAGGATGCTCTGATTCAGACTGATACGGACTCTCAGTGTCATATTGATAAATTTAAAAAAAAGCAGAATTGTGTTTCATTTGTGTTATTGTTCAAAACTTGCCATTTCTCGAGGCAGCATTTTTGCGTTATTACATGTTGTTTGAAGTGTTCTCATTTGCTAACTAGTCAAGTTACAGCTAATAAAAGTATTTTATTTGAAGGTTAAGTAGTTGTATATCTTGTCATACATTCTTATTTCATGGTAAAATATTAATATGCAGATTATTTGCTTATAAGTCGATCAGTACTCAAAACGTGTGTAATTTCTCGACCGGGTGGCGGCCATCTTGGATTTGTGGGTCCGAACGATGTCATAGCGCCAAACTGATGTCAGAAATGGAATCCTTGTGGTCGACTTACCCCAAAAAGTGCATTTACACATGACTCTAGGCGCTCTGGTTCAAAAGTTAATTTTTTAAGATGGCGCGAGCAGCCATCTTGGATTTGGCCCTCTAGCAAAAATTGCCGGGATTTTTGGGAGGGACCTTGGGTCTATATTTTTTATAAAAGGTCCAATGATGTCAAATCAAGTGTCAAAACATCTTAGCAGAAGAATGGTCACGGAATTGAGGTTCTAGACCCAACTAGTTAATAATGTTTCTCTAATTCAATGATTCCTGTTTCAGAGACAATCAAATGCATCCCAAACGCTTTGTGACATCATCCGCCTTAGTCGAGACCAGGCCAATCAGATGCAGGAGAATATGGAGCCAGACCCACTATTGGCTGTTCTAGAGTCGTAAGTTTACCAAGCCTTTTGGCTCTCGTTACATTTTGTCATTTGTGTAGGTGTCCTGTAAATGGGATGATGTTAGGCACGCAAAGGTTCCTCTGCCGTGAACCTTTGGGTCATTGTTCATTTGACTTTTTTATTGTTATACCTTGTTGACTTTAAGGCGGTGTTTACACGAGAACGAAACGGGTTGTATCCGCTACTTTTCTCTCGCGTGTAGCCCGTTCGTTCACACGAGGCCGTAACGGAACCGCGGAAACGGTTTTCGCAAACGATAACGGGTCCCAAGGTGGATAGATCTGCAACCGGAATGCTCTGGGGGTCAAACGGCTCAGTGTGTACGCCCTATACGATCATTTCCTGATAACGATGAAGCCATAGCCCCGCCTCTGCTGCTCACTGCTGTAGCATGGTCAGTAGCTACTGCTAGTGCTACTGCTACTGACCATGCTACAGATGTTAGTGCAAATTAATCTACAGCTCCTCTACCACAACCATCAGCAACAAGTGGACATGGGGAATTACTACATTTTGCTAAATCCACCGCGGGGCATAAACAGAAGGGCAACCATGCTCGGGGGTCTTCTTCGCTGCTTTTGGTGTATTTTGTGGCAGAAGTACAGCGCCACTTACAGGCCCGGCATATGTACTACAGCGTCTCCAGTGGTCTCGTTAAATGAGCCGAATGCCTGTGAACGGAGGACTTTTTTGATAACGAATTCGGTCCGTTTGCGCTCCCGTGTAAATGGGGTCTACGCTGCACGTGTGCAAGAAGGTTTTGAACTTTTGACCTGAAGTGAATTTCTTGTTCTCTGTTTTAATTTGTGATGTGTGCCATGTTGTGAAAGCACTTTGAGCTGCACCTAGTGTATACAAAGTGCTGTACAAATAAAGCTTTTTTATTACTATAAAGGCACTATGACTAACACATTTGAGGTCAATCAGGTTACATCTCTAGGAGGAGAAAAGGCTTATTTCTCTTTACAACATACATGTGCTTACAAAACGGTAATCCTTCTTCCTAAAAGTGTAGGCTTTTACTTTGACAACTATTGGAGGGTGCTTTCGAGACCATTTTCCACACCGAACCCAGAGACCCATCATTATAAGTTCAATAAGTCTTCTGCAACACCGTGGCTTTGTTTGATGACTAAGCTACGAAAATGTATTTCCTGTCTCCTGCCGATTAATGGCGTCACATAATTGAAAGGCCCTTTTTTATGTGTTTTCTTCTTGGAAAGTTTTTGGTGGTAGGACTTTTTAAAATGTCTGCTCCTACATGTCCACACAAGCCGGGATTGTAAGCCAACTATTCTATCCTCACTCGATTTGAAAAGTTATTTTATGAGGTCGTTGTGTGTGCAAGGATTTGCTGGCAGAACCTGTTTGACAACAGTTTTTGTACAAGTTTCATTTTGTGCCCTTCATCTGTGTACAGCATCTGACCTATACACTGATTTTGCCACACCTTATTACGTGTCATCACCAGCTTGTTTATTTATTCTTATCTTTCAGGCAGGACAGTGTAGCCGGGCTCCTCAAGAACATGTTTGAGGGCGAGAGGAGTGAGGCCTCCTTTGTTAACGGAACTCAAGTGCTACTTACCCTACTGGAGACCAGGAGGTCTGGGTGAGTCAAAGGGTTTCCTGTCAAGCATTTCAATTATAAACGTTGCTTACTTCATTCTGGTCCCGTTGCTTCCTGGTCCTTCAGGATCTTAAGGGTTCATTTTCATTGACTGTTATAAGTTAACAAAGAAAGTAAAAAGTGCTCCTATCTGCTTATATATATATTTGTTTAACACTAGAACCGCCAGAGGTCGCTGTATACCTAAAACCGCCAACGGGTCAAATTTACCCGCTATTGATTTTCAAGGTACAATGTTCTTTTATTTATCATACAGAACAGTGAGATCTGATCGCACAGGGATGAAACTTATTACATAATACATACAATCAAAAAAACGGCTACGGGTAAAATTGACCCGTTGGCATTTCTAGTGTTAACAGACTGATTTTTATAATGTAACTCTAGTGTCTCTAGTGGAGAGCGTTCATACTTTTAAGAGCAAACTCAAGACCCAACTTTTTTTAGTTGGCTTTAACTTGTATTGTATTTTCTTCTTTTTTTAATTAATTTATTGAATTATTATTATTTTATTCCTATTCCTAAGTATTATTTAAATCATAAATATATGTGGGAAAGGGGAGAAAGTATTTCTTTTTATTCTATTAAATTGTCTGTTTCGTTCGTGAAGCACTTTGAGTTATCTTTGCGTATGAAACATGCTATATATATAAATAAAGTTTGATTGTTTATTGTCTCGCAGGTTGGAAGGGCTGATGGATCTGTATTCTCAGGGTTATGAAAGGTCTTACACTGTCAACAGCAGTATTTTAAATGCCATTGAGCCCCATTTAAAGGACTTCCAGCAGCTTCTTCTGGATCCCCCCAAGGTACAGCATTAAGGAGATAAAAGCAGCTGACACATGTTAGCCTCATATCTACTGAAGTAGCTGATGTATAAATGAATTGGCAGTACATATTACTTTTATACAGTCTTGTTTCCCCATCTGTGGTTCAGTTATTAGAACTAATAAACTCATAGAAGGCAAAAAACAGCAATGTATATGGCACCCCCCCCTCTATAATGTATTATTCTTATACATTTTCTCTCTGTGCTTTTAAGTAATTGGTATGTAAGCTGAGTTATACATAGATATCTTGCTCCATGATTAAAGTGAGATTATTGTCACCCATGGAGTGATGTATGTTATATGTGCGGGAAGCGTGTGGCGCAGTGGACTAGTGCGTTGGTGTTGGGATCAGGGGGTCACAGGTTCAAACCCCACTGCAGTCAGCATGTCGTTGTGTCCCTGAGCAAGACACTTCACCCCAAATTGCTCCTGTGGGGATTGCCCTAAAGGAGTATGTAAGTCGCTTTGGATAAAAGCGTCTAACAAGTAATGTAATTATTCTGCACACATTTGAGTATGTACGCGGGTGTATGTTGTATGTATGTTATTACATGTCACTTGTTAGACGCTTTGATCCAAAGCGACTTACATACTCAATACTGTGGACAATCCCCACAGGAGCAATTTGGGGTGAAGTGTCTCAGGGACACAACGACATCCTGACTGCAGTGGGACTCGAACTTGCTATCCCCTGATTCAAAGTCCATCGTACTATCCACTGAGCCACAGCCTCCTGTTATGTCTGAATGTTTACAAAAATCACAATAAAAAGAGTATTAAAGCAAAATTAAATACACCCGGGGTTACTGAGTGTTGGTATAAAACATCCACTTTCTCATTCCCTCTACAGAAAAGTGCAATATTGACGACGGTGGGCCTTCTGGAGCAGCCTCTTGGGAACGCCCGGCTCCACGTGGCCCGGCTGGTGGCCGCGCTGCTGCAGACCAGCGCCCTCACCATCTGCCAGGAGCTCTGCAACCTGACCACCATGGACCTACTACTGGTAGGAAAACCTGGCTGTTTGAGCCCTCATACTGTACCTCTTTAAAAAAAAGTTGTTTAAGTGTTATATATTATATATTTCTTGCACTATTTTCCGAGGTGGGAGTGCAAATACTTTCTTACTATACTTAAGTACATTTTTCTGGTATCAGTACTTTACTCCACTACTTATTTTTCTGATGACTTTCTACTTCTTACATGTTGAACACAAATACCTGTACTTTCTACTTCTTACATGTTGAACACAAATACCTGTACTTTCTACTTCTTACATGTTGAACTCAAATACCTGTACTTTCTACTTCTTACATGTTGAACACAAATACCTGTACTTTCTACTTCTTACATGTTGAACACAAATACCTGTACTTTCTACTTCATACATGTTGAACTCAAATACCTGTACTTTCTACTTCTTACATGTTGAACTCAAATACCTGTACTTTCTACTTCTTACATGTTGAACCCAAATACCTGTACTTTCTACTTCTCTCATTTTCCAAACAGCTGGTTCCTTTAGTCTGAATGTGTGTTTGGTGCGTGATCATTATTCTTTAGAGTCATTGCGTGCCTATTGATTTGAACACGATCCGTGTATCCATCATTTCCTGGTCTTCTCTAAAGAAGAGGGACCAATGGAAACGTTGTCATGTTGCCGTTGTTCAGCATGGAAACATTCATTAGCTAACAATGACATTATTGTTCTATTAATATAAAGGGAGGTCAGGTACTCTTTAAAACAGCTGCTAGTTATGGGTACTTTTTACTGAAGTACATTTCAAAGCTTCTTTACTTTTAGTTGAGTAAAGAAGTTTAGTCAGTACTTCTAGTATTTTTAAACACGAGTATCTGTACTTCTACTTGAGTTAAGTGTGTACTTTTGCCATCTCTGACTATTTTGTATTTTTGTATTTTATTATATATGTTGCATTGTTGGAGGAGCTCAGGTCAGAATAATTTCATTGCCATTTCTACACTCTAGCTATGTGCATAGGACAATAAAACCTTTGAGCGTTTGAATATATAAAGAAGAATCAGATTTGCACTAGGTTGGTCATGAGGCAGCACTGATTACCTTATCGCACCACCTGACCAAAGTGCAGCCTGCTCAGACATGACCAATAAGGTGTGTGTGTGTGTGTGTGTGTGTGTGTGTGTGTGTGTGTGTGTGTGTGTGGACAGGCGACTCAAACACTTAACTCCAAGCTTAATCAGTGGATTACTTAACAGATTAAAAGATTATCTAAATAGATAGCGATAAATACTGTAACTGGATTTGTAATTTCTATTTTTATCTTTAATATTTTAAGCTTATTAATTAATATTTTGGGCTCTTTACTTGCTGTAACACTGTAAATGAACGAATAAAGGTGTTCTGATTCTGATCAATTGCACAGACTTCCAGTATCGCCCTGCTTTGGGAAAGTAATTTGGCTAAAATACTTTAACCTGATATTATGACATATTGTATGCATTTTACATTTCCCAAGTTATTGAAGTGATTGCGATACATATTGATTGTTGTGCTTTTATTTATGTCTTAATGTGTGCGTGCACATGTGTCTGTGTATATATAGGATATGCATATTTTTATATATCTTTGTATTTCGATCACACAAACTGAAAGATTGACAATAAAGTTGACTTTGACTTAATGAATCACTGCCTACAGTTCTATCTTGCATGCGATATTTTCACAGCATGTCACTGACTTTGCCTCCCGTCTTTCTTTAACAGGATCTGTTCTTCAAATACTCCTGGAATAACTTTTTGCACTTCCAAGTGGAGCTGTGTGTGGCGGCCATCCTGAACCATCCCTCTTCTTCAGAGGAGCGACCCAGCCCGGCTCTCCAGAACCACGACGTGAAGCCCGAAGCACCAAACTCTGAGGGGCAGGAGGAGACCTCGGAGACGGGCACGACCATCGACCCTCAGACCTCCCTCCACAACGCCCTCGTAGCACATGTACGTCGCTAAAGCAGCTGCAGAAGAGCCATACTGCACATAATAATATTTAATACATTTTATTTAAGGCGCCTTTCATGACACCCAAGGACACCGTAACATTTGTTGAATATTCTAAGACGTAAAAGCAACAGAACATGATAAAAACACAAACATACCATCATGGAGAAGACAATTTAAAGTGGACACAAATGATAGAGATAGCAGGTTATTCAGGGGAAACGGATGATAGGGAGCACTACACTGAACACGTGGGTTTCGAGGAAGGACTTGAATGTGGTGATTGTGTCAGACTGTCATGTGAAGGGGGAGAGAGTCCATAGTTTGGGAACTATCTCAACATCTCTGCTGTTTTGTTTGCATGGATTTGGTGCTCTTCCTGAAGTATTTCCACACTCACACTCTCCATATGTCTTTTTTCATCCCCTCAGCTCTTCCAAAAGTGTCAATTGGTACAGAGAATCCTTAACGCCTGGGAAGAGAATGACAAAATACAGTAAGGACCTTTTTTGCTGCATATTTTTCACGCATATCCTGCTGATAGGTAACTAAACGATAAATGCCTGTGTAGTCACAAAACAAATACTTGTTCTCCATCATTTGGGATGCATTTTACATTTTGCAATAGGGATGCTCCGATCGATGTGCCGCCGGTCGATATCGGCCGATACTCACTCTCTGCCGATCGATCGATCTGTGCTCTCTTAACCTGTTAAGCCGTCTCTCAGGGCATCTTAATATTTAAAAACCTATTAATGTGTTATATCAGATTAACGAGAAGAATCTCAGCTAACTGACGATACGAACCATTTTTACCGAAACAAAACACAAGTCTCACATGAAGCGTTAGCATTAGCCCTTAGCTAAAACGGGCAGATGCTACTTCCGGTGCTAACTAGCAAAAACGATCTTTAAAACTTAATATTTTCTGCACAAACTACATATCATCTGAAAGCTGATACTCCACAGATTATTTTTTTATAAGTATCATCACTGTAGGACACAAACTCACTGAGCTAGCAGCCAGAACAGAGAAGAAAAAAAACAACAGTTTTCAAAACCATAACAATAATTATGTCTTACCGTTGCTGTTTTGTGATCAAAGCTCTTGTTAAAGGGAATAAAAACGCTGCTTAAAATTAATCCAATGTCTCTTAGTCACTTTAGAATTGTTCCTGATAATCTATCATTACATTCATGGCAGCAGAGTAGGTATAAAGTTTCGCAGTCCCGAGCTAATGCTGTCTCACGTGCTGTTTACGCAAACCTCTCTCTATTTGGTGTAAGTGTTTAGCGGGACTTACTAACTGTCACTCGATTCTATTGGCTCTAACGGTTCAGAAAATGTGTCAATCACCCAAATCAACCAATGGATTCCAAAGATATGATCCTGCGTAGTATAAACTACGCCTGCTCCGGCTCCATTACGCATTACGCAGCCAGAAGGGAGAGCTTCACCACCGAGCAGGTGCTGGAGATGCTAGCTGACGATAGCGGGGCTATGATCATACCAGATGACTCTTCGTCGGATGATGAAGATCTCCTCCAGCCAGACCTGGATCCGGACAGTAGTGACTCGGATGTTGAACTTCCACCACGGGAAAGGAATGTAATCTCTCTGTTTTTATATATTACTTATGTGTTTGGTGGAACTGCGTCACAGTGCTAGCTTAGCCAAGAAGCTACAGGAATGATTAGGCAAAATGCTAAATAGTGTTACTTGTCTTTTTGGAGTTACATTTTCTAAATGAATGGCCAGTGAATGAATATATACATGTGTTTACTTATTTATTTGGTGTAATATTATTCATTTATAGTCCAATATTATCCTTTTTATATTACTTTTGTGTTTGGTGGAACTGCATCACAGTGTTAGCTTAGCCAACAGGAATGATTAGCCAAAATGCTAAATAGTGTTACTTGTCTTTTTGGAGTTACATTTTCTAAATGAATGGCCAGTGAATGAATATACATGTGTTTACTTATTTATTTGGTGTAATACAATTCATTTATAGTAATAATATATATATAGTAATAATATTATCCTATAAGTATAAGCCAGTGAATTAATCTAATCTCTTTGTTTTTCCACATTTGTTAGATGAGGAGTGACCCCAGCAGGACAAAGCCACACACCCCCCCCCCCCCCTCCTCCACCACTCACATGCATGCCCGAGTATTATGGGGAAGATGCCACCAAGGTCAGGAAGAACTGAAGGAGGTGCCTAGATGCTGGACTCAAAAGGGTGAAGACACCTGTGTACTGCAGGAAGTGCCAGGTCCCTCTTTGCTTCACTGTCAAAAAGAACTGTTTCAGGGAGTGGCACGACCTAAATACTGGAACATTCAGGTAGGTATAACGTTTTGCGAGTGTTTATTTTTAAAAAAAAATACTTGTTGTTTTTATATACCTAGTGTGATTTTATTGTATAGTGTGTTGGTAAAATATTTGTTGTTTTTACAAACCTACAGTGTGGTTTTATTGTATAGTACGTTGGTAAAATGTTTGTTTTTACATGCCTATAGTGTGTTGGTAAAATGTTTGAAATAAATCTGCCCCAGTTGGAGTAAAATGTTACCTATGTTTCCGTTTTTTTTTATTGTGCAAGTACACTTACACTCAATGACCTACAGTGTAGTTTTATTGTATAGCGCGTTGGTACAGTTACATACACACACACACACACACACACCTACACACACTAACACACACAAAAAAAAAATAATAATAATTATTATTTTTTTTTAAATATTTTTGTTTTGTTTTGGGTGGAATGAATACCTATAGTGATGATTCAATGTTATACAATGATTTTTATAGTCTGGTACCTGAAAAAGGTCAAATGGCACTGATGGAACCAAATGTGCCCAAAGCTTATTCCGCCTGGACTTTATTTTCATAAACCTCTCTAAAAAGGTCAAATGTCACTTGTTTTGCCTCAATCTTGATACAGGGTACTTATTATATGTTATACTTTGGATTCCTAAAGCTTTTAGGCTACTAACCCATCATTCAAGGTTGGTCTTCACTATAAGTAATGGGTTTTCTTTAGGCAGAGACAGGAATTTACATTTTTTTGCTATGTTCCATCTGAATTTACTCTGACACAGAAAAATCTATATTGATTCTGACACTTCTACATCCAACTCACAGATTTAACCTTGCTTTTGATAACAACAATTATTCATATAAACCGTTTAGAAGTGAAGTGAAGTTATTTGTTATTTGTTATTTGTTCTGGGAATGTCATTTTCGAGCCTGAAACCTGAAAAACAGGCTCGGGGTTTAACAGGTTAAAATGCCGATCGCGAAAGCCGATCGCATGACGTAAAATACATGACACTTTTCTCTGTGCGCGGCAAAACAAGCTCGACAAAATGGCTTCTCTGGTCTGGCAGTATTTTAAGGTGTCCGAAAAGGACAATAAAATAGCGGTATGCAACGTGTGTGAAGCAGAAATCCTGCAGCTCCACCCGCTGTGACGGACCGGTGAGCGAAGCAACACACACTAATGGCGCATTTCCACTGCAGGGCCTGGCACGGCTTAGTGCGGTATAGTTAGGCCTTGATAGGCCAGGCTCACTTTATGCTGCGTTTCCATTACAGTTTAGGAACTGGGGTAGTAACTATAGTAACGCAGTGTAGGCGGAGCCGTGACGTCATCTTCAATGCGAAACACAAAATTAGCTGTTAGCACTCAGAGCTCACAGCTCCTCATATCTGTTCAGAAACTAGACAAAAGTTAAACAAGTACAAACCACAGACTGTCTGTGTCATGGCGAATACAGTCGCTGGTTTATTTACAGTGGGGCAAAAAAGTATTTAGTCAGCCACCAATTGTGCAAGTTCTCCCACTTAAAAAGATGAGAGAGGCCTGTAATTTCCATCCTAGGTATACCTCAACTATGAGAGACAGAATGAGAAAAATAAATCCAGAAAATCACATTGTCTGAGTTTTAAAGAATTTATTTGCAAATTATGGTGGAAAATAAGTATTTGGTCAATAACAAAAGTTCATCTCAATACTTTGTTATATACCCTTTGTTGGCAATGACAGAGGTCAAACGTTTTCTGTAAGTCTTCACAAGGTTTTCACACACTGTTGCTGGTATTTTAGCCCATTCCTCCATGCAGATCTCCTCTAGAGCAGATGTTTTGGGGCTGTCGCTGGGCAACACGGACTTTCAACTCCCTCCAAAGATTTTCTATGGGGTTGAGATCTGGAGACTGGCTAGGCCACTCCAGGACCTTGAAATGCTTCTTACGAAGCCACTCCTTCGTTGCCCGGGCGGTGTGTTTGGGATCATTGTCATGCTGAAAGACCCAGCCACGTTTCATCTTCAATGCCCTTGCTGATGGAAGGAGGTTGTCACTCAAAATCTCACGATACATGGCCCCATTCATTCTTTCCTTTACACGGATCAGTCGTCCTGGTCCCTTTGCAGAAAAACAGCCCCAAAGCATGATGTTTCCACCCCCATGTTTCACAGTAGGTGTTCTTTGGATGCAACTCAGCATTCTTTCTCCTCCAAACACGTCTAGTTGAGTTTTTACCAAAAATTTATATTTTGGTTTCATCTGACCATATGACATTCTCCCAATCCTCTTCTGGATCATCTAAATGCTCTCTAGCAAACTTCAGACGGGCCTGGACATGTACTGGCTTAAACTGGGGGACACGTCTGGCACTGCAGGATTTGAGTCACTGGCGGCGTAGTGTGTTACTGATGGTAGCCTTTGTTACTTTGGTCCCAGCTCTCTGCAGGTCATTGACTAGGTCCCCCCGTGTGGTTCTGGGATTTTTGCTCACCGTTCTTGTGATCATTTTGACCCCACGGGGTGAGATCTTGCGTGGAGCCCCAGATAGAGGGGGATTATCAGTGGTCTTGTATGTCTTCCATTTTCTAATAATTGCTCCCACAGTTGATTTCTTCACACCAAGCTGCTTACCTATTGCAGATTCAGTCTTCCCAGCCTGGTGCAGGTCTACAATTTTGTTTCTGGTGTCCTTTGACAGCTCTTTGGTCTTGGCCATAGTGGAGTGTGACTGTTTGAGGTTGTGGACAGGTGTCTTTTATACTGATAACGAGTTCAAACAAGTGCCATTAATACAGTTAACGAGTGGAGGACAGAGGAGGCTCTTAAAGAAGAAGTTACAGGTCTGTGAGAGCCAGACATCTTGTTTGTTTGTAGGTGACCAAATACTTATTTTACCGAGGAATTTACCAATTCATTCATTCAAAATCCTACAATGTGATTTCCTGGATTCTTTCACCCCATTCTGTCTCTCATAGTTGAAGTGTACCTAGGATGAACATTACAGGCCTCTCTCATCTTTTTAAGTACTTTTTTGCCCCACTGTATGTCTGTAGGCCGTTGTTGTGAGCGTGGACGGTCGGAGCATATTCTGCGTTAGCTTAGCCAATCTCCATTCAGAAAACACGCATTTTAAAAGGTGTTTCCCCTGCCGTCTGTCTGCAGACTTGTCAAAGCATTAATTCATGGTTTTTACTAACCGGTATCAGTATGTTGTTACTTCGGCATCATTTTGAAACGTGTATTACAATTAAATCACGGTAAAATATGTTCATTTTGTTGTAGTTGCCAGCGATTCTCTCACTAGTTTAGCATACTCAGTCCGGTTGTTGGCCCGGAAAGAACCTCGATTTTGGAGAGCCAGAAAACTGTGAAAAAGTACCCGTTAACTGGAACTACCCCTAGTGGAAACGCAACCAAAAACGGGCCGGGCACGCTTAAACTGCGCTGTAGTGGAAATGCGCCATAAGAGTTAGACCTAACACACTTAGCTATTTTATCTACCTCTGGAACTAGCTAAACTAGTTCTAAATATTTGTGGAAGCGCCAGTGAATGAGCCCCATTAACTGAGTTTTAAACATCACTTTAAATGGAAGATCCCCATAGGCTCCGCCCACTCGATCGGATCGGCCCCAAAATTGGCGATCGGAGTATCCCTATTTTGCATCATCTCAAAGGGTTTCCTGGTCCTTCAAGATCTTAAGGGTTGATTTGTATTTTATTAACTCTTATAGGTTAACAAGGAAGGTGAAAAGTGCAGCTCTTTGCTTACATACTTACCTAATATATTTAATGGATGACATGTAAATGTTGAAAGTGCATGTTTTTATTGACATTGAGTCTGTGATTACGGTAAAGTTAAAGGTGATTGTAAGTGTGTCTATTTGTAAATCTCAGGGGTGAGGGCGGCACAAGAAGAGGCAACATGGGTCACCTGACCAGAATTGCCAACATGGTGGTCCAAAACCTGGAGAAAGGACCAGTACAGGCCCAGATCAGTGACCTCATCAAAGGTAAACCCGGGTCACAGTCGTCCCAATCACACTTGTTACCATTTTAAAGGTCACCTATTATGCAAAATCGACATGTGTCCCCGCTGTGTTAAAAGACCCACTCTCTTTTTGTCCTGATCCATTTCTATAAAAACCTGTCTGAAAATGAGCTGATCAGATTTTGGCCACTTGATGATGTCATAATGTTTTGTCTTGTGTAACCATTAGCCAATCAGCAACCAAGGTAACCCCCCCCCCTTATCACCTGAATCTCCTCCTAGAGCACCATTGAGTTCTTTGTAACCAAATGACTCTCAGAGGGGCGTGGGGAGGGGCTCCTTATTTTCATCTAAAGTAACAGACAGAGAATCAGCACTTTGGAAACAGGGCTGAAACAGAGGGGATTATGGGTAATGCTGCAATGATCTGTTTGGTGTTTCAGCCAATCAGAGACAGGTTCTCTATATATCTGAGACCTGTTATATATCGATGAGAAAGTATAATTGGGGACCTTTAACTCTGTGTGTCTCGCAGAGCTGCCAGAAGACTGCAGAGGTCGCTGGGAGAGCTTCGTGGACCAGACCCTGAGAGAAACCAACAGGAGGAACACGGTGGAGCTGGTGAGGTTTCATCCATCATCAGTCAGCTCCTTGTGCACCATTTTTTAACTTCCTCTTATTTCCTCTCCTCCTCCAGTTTATACCCACTGTGTTCAGAGCAGCCAGTTAATCAGGACAGCAGCGAGCAGCCGTTACCAGCTTCTCAAATGTGTCTTGAAATAAATATAAGAATGTATGCAACAGAAGAAGTCGGAAGTGTTATTTAAATGGATTGACAACAACAGGGTAGGAAGATCACAATACAAGATATGTGTTGGTTCATACCTATAGTGAAACTGCACCATTTTAGATTATATACCACGGTCCAAAGGGTTAGGCTTTTTTTAAATGTTAAACAATAAATTCAGAGTACTTCAGTATACACTCCTTTTTTAATATTTTTTGCATACATGATTTGGTAGCATGTAAAAAAGGTAATAATTCCCTGTGTATTAATCACATTTGAACACATCATGGTAACTTTGCAGTCATTTTCCTTTGTCCATTAAACCCATGATAAAGTACCCCGGTTAGCGTTAGCTGTTAGCTCTGTTTTCTAGTAGTCAAGCTCTCCTCCTGGTGATTCACAACACAGATGTAATGTTAAACACGTAGCGTTATCAGGGGAAATTAGGGGGTTTTGGCATTGGGTCAACATACTAGTGATGCATCAAACACATGTTCTGTGTTCCCCTTGAAGCTAATAGTCTGTTGCACATTTGTAGTTTTAAAGACGCGCAGGGACCCATTGATGTCTTGTGTTTTTGTCAAGACATCAATAGGCGCTTTCACACCAAGTACTTTGCCGTACTTAGTTCATCAGAACTAAAGAGCAGATCGCGTTCACACCGGAATAAATCCCTGAGGGAGGATTAGGCAAATGAAGCCGCTGAAGTCACTTCTTCTTCTTCTGCTTTGGGTTTACTGGCAGGCCGCAAACAACTTCACGGCGTATACTGCCACCCGGAGTCCCCGGCCGGAAGTCCCCGGAGTTGGGGACTGGCTTCAGTAGAAGCTGCTGGGACTCCCAGCAGCTTCTACTGAAGCCTTCCGAGTAAATCGCCAGAACGCCGACACCTCCTCATCTCCACCGCTCCCATGTTTTCTTTTGTGTTGCCATAAGTTAGTCTCTCTCCGTTTCTGCGCTGGGCTAATGCTAATGATGCTAATGCGAGCAAATAAAATGGCGGCTTCACAAAACTTTTTGGAAGTTTTACGGGGCGTGGTTTGCAATCCGCCCAGCCAATCAGACATGGGAACCTTTTTCTCCCATGAAAGTACCTGCTCTCTAGCAGGGACTGAAAAGGTTCTCATGAACTAAGTTCTAGTTCCGGATTGTTTTGGTGTGAACGCACATTTTCAGAACTATACTGGGAAAAGTACTCCAGTGTGAAAGCGCCTAATGGGTCCCTGCCAGGCTTTAAATCTACACATTTACACAACTAGGGATATTTTAAAATAGCAAAAGGCCATTTGCATTGCATGAAATCAATGATTTGCTGCATTTAAGTGGTACTGTATTCATTAAAATGACAAGTATGCCAGTTAGGGTAAAGCTGTGAACTGTAGCTTGACTAAAGATCTGCTCCGCCTGGTTTTCAAATCCCTACATATTTGATCTGGTGATTTTTTTTTTTACACATTTTGCGCCACAATTTCTTGTATTTGCTTTCTCTATTTTATGTTTTCATAAATACATCTGTTATTAGAATTTCAACCCGAATATCAAACATGTTGCAAAAGGCAGCTGGGCATCTCTACGGTGTTTTTGAACACTATAAAAATGTCTCCAAACCTCCACACTGCAGGTGAGCACCCACAACATGCACTCGTCCAGTGAAGACGACGACATGGAGAGCCCCTTCCCCAATGACCTGTCTCTCCAGCAGGTACACACACACACACACACACACACACACACACACACACACACACTTCTGTTACTCATTTGTTAACATCAATCTCCTCGGTCCATACTGATATCACCTTTTGAAAAAGTGCCATTTGACCTCCCCAGGCCTTCTCTGACTATCAGATCCAGCAGATGACCGCCAACTTCGTGGATCAGTTCGGCTTCAATGATGAGGAGTTCAGCGAGCACGATGAAAATATCAAGTAAGTAGTTAAGTTATTTGAAGGATAATGTAATTCACCCCTCAGCATCAAACCCCTCTGCACCAGATCTCGAGACATTTTTATTATTTCTCTGTTACTCTATTTGATTTCATGTCTGTGCTTTTTGTTGTTAAAGTCGTTTGTTAACATGTTCCCATTTCTTTCTGGTTCTCTTTCCTCAGTGCCACATTTGACAGAATTGCTGAAATAAACTTCAATCTAGATGCTGATGATAATAGTGTAAGTGTTTGTGACTCAGTGCTTTATTAAAGATGTTATTAAATACATTAGATCTACTGTCCCCACAACATGTGTTTGGGTTGTAAACACTGGTGTGTGTGTGTAGCATAGGGATGGGTATCGTTAAGGTTTTAACGGTGCTACTACTTTTATCGATACCGCTTATCGACCCGGTCTTTTAACGGTACTCTTATCGGTTCTTTTGGAAGAAGAAAAAAAAGGTAACTTAACAAATTGTGAACAAAACTAACATTGCTTTTTATTTAAATTAAATAAATAATATTTCACATCAACAGAAACAACAATGTTTTAACAAATGGTATTAAATAATGTGATGACAGAATAGCTGAAACTTTAACAAACTAAATAAATCTTACCTCTAATCATTAACCCATGTTTGAATCATGTAGTTAACTCCGTGTGTTGCTGCTAGCATACATAACACCTGACGTGGAAACGTTACTCGTGGATGGGGCTACAGAGCTGCTATAAAGACGGTCGAACCCGGTACATTCCTCCGTCTGGATGTGGAGCACTTTGGATAAATGTTTAGACAAATTGCTCGTGTTACCGCCCTTACATGCTAAACTCTTATTGAACTTTGGGTAACGAGCATCGTCCACATCGAGACGGGTAACATTTAACCACCTCGGAGCGCGTTCTCTCCGCCATCTCCTCCGTGTGTGTGTTGCTGCATGTAGCAGCTGCGTGTGTGTAAACTGCCCCGCCCCCTCGCACACAGACGGGGAGAGAGATCTCGTCTGGATTGGAAAGATCGAAAATACATCATAGACTCCTTGATTTTTCATATTAGGCGACACTAAAACTGCAATATAATGTCTTTGTAGCAATGATACACATGATAAATCTTTTTACATGTCGATAACGTCGGAGCTTAACGGTACCACGGTCTTTAATAATTCAGCCCCGGGGCCCGGTACCCATCCCTAGTGACGACACTAAACATGTTGATTTTAAAAGGATAAGCGCCCATGAGATAGTATAATATCTCTCGTCTGGATTGGAAAGATCGAAAATACTAAAAATAATCATAGACGCATTTTGCAGTCTTTTTGCGTATTAGAAACGGAGTTCGCGAAACTAAAACTGCAATATAATGTTTGTGTAGCAATAATACAGATAGATATATTACATGTCTCCAGTACCGATAAAAAGACCGATAACGTTGGAGCTTAACGGTACCACGGTCTTTAATAATTCAGCCCCGAGGCCCGTTTAATACCGGGGCTCGGTACCCCTCCCTAGTGTAGCATGAGTAAATGAGAGACTAGATGCATATTTCATAAAGTCTCTAATGGGGATTGTTTGATAGCATTTGACTGATTTGAATGTGTGTTTGTGTGCAGGCCAACGCAGCTGCTTTTGAAGCCTGCTGTAAAGAACGGATACGCCAGTTTGACGACGCTGAGGATGAGGAGGACATCTGGGAGGAGAAGGAAATGAACTATGCAACACAAGCTAAATCCAGAACAAGGTTGGATCTGTTTTCTAGTTTTTAGCACCAAGCATTCTTGGTATTTTGTCTTCTCTCTCCACTCCTAACTCCTGACCGTTGTCCCTCTCAACAGGTTTGGGGTCTCCCAAACCTCAGAGGAAAGCTCCAGGGGCAGCATGGAGAACGGCGGCAGGGATCGGGACCACGGATCTGGATCTGATGAGGAGGAGGAGGAAGAGGAGGAGGAGGAGGAGCAGGAGGAGCAGCCTGTGCAGAACGCACAGAACGCATCAGAGTCAGGTAGATCAGAACAGTGTCTTTCAACCTTTTTTCAGTACATGTTTACATTAAAAAAATGTCCCATGGCGCACCAACAACTGAAAAAGTTACTACATGACACATCGTAGCCGAATACAGCATTTCTATATAAGGATACTTTGATGAAAGTCTCTCAATTAGTCTAACAGTTCAGCTCCTAAGTCGCTAGCTTTGATAGCTCTCTCTTTGAGAACACAGGTCACTTTTATGAGAACCGCAATTTGTTTACGCCGGGGAACAACAGTCCATGTTCTAGTTATGAAGCGACAGGTGTTTCGTTTGGAGATGATGTTTAAGCTAGCGTGGGAAAATGACGCTGTTGGATTTTATTTTCAAGAACTAAATAATATCTTTTTGGATCAATTAAGGGAAATTGGGCAAAATGCTAATGGGGCATTTCCACTGCAGCACGGTTTAAGCGTGCCGTGCCAAACCCGGACCGTTTGTTGTTGCGTTTCCACTAGGGGGAGTTCCGGCTAACGGGTACTTTTTCACAGTTTTCTGACTCTCCAAAATCCAGGTTCTTTCCGGGCCAACAACCGGGCTGAGTATGCTAAACTAGTGATGCTACAACTACAACAAAATGAACATATTTGACCGTGATTTAATTGTAATACACGTTTCTAAATGATGCCGAAGTAACAACATGCTGATACCGGTTAGTAAAAACCATGAATTAATGCTTTGGTCTGGCAGGCGAAACACCTTTTAAAATGCTTGTTTTCTGAATGGAGATTGGCTAAGCTAACGCAGTATATGCTCCGACCGCCCACACTCACAACAACGGCCTACAGACATAAATAAAGCAGCGACTGTATTCTCCATGACACAGACAGTCTGTGGTTTGTACTTGTTTAACTTCTGTCTAGTTTCTGAACAGATATGAAGAGCTGTGAGCTCTGAGTGCTAACAGCTAACGGCTGATGTTGGTTTTGTGGTTCGCTTTGAAGATGACGTCACGGCTCCGCCTATACTGCGTTACTATAGTTACTACACCAGCTACTAAACTGTAACGCAGCATAAAGTGACCCTGGCCTAACAAGGCCTCAACTGCCTTACAAATAAACACAATTTGTTTACGCAGAGGAACAAAAAAGTCTGTTTTTGTTTTGAAGTGACAGGTGTTTCGTTTGGAGACGGCGTTTAAGCTAGCGTGGGATAATTGATTTTATTTGCAAGAACTAAATAATACTTTCTTGGGCTAATTAAGGGGATTTGTTCAGCTACTTGCATCCCCCGCCAAATGCATTTTAGAAACTTTTCAGAATCTGCTCTTGTATTGATTTATTCTTGGTTCTTTCCAAGGTCCAGGCTGGACGGCAAATTTCAGGGAGTCTGGAGGGACGGCAGCTTCCCAAACGGCACCAGGGTGGGACAGCTCGTCGAGGAGCGGAGCGGGGACGCAGGGAAGTGGCTGGGCCAACTTCACCGAGTTCCAGCCTTTCTCCGGGTGAGAAACACAAGCCTGCTGCTGACCCAAAAGTACAAGTCTGCTCGGACGATTTTCAAGAAAAAACAGACATTTAAATGCTATGTCTTCTAAGTCAGTGATTCTCAAACTTTGTTCAATAATGTACCCCCTTTGAAAAGAAAATGCAGCCAAGTACCCCCTGATTAGCGCAAAAACAATTCGTTAGGGACAAAAAGCCTATAAAGAGGTACAGCACAGCGCTGCACCATCAGTGTCTGATTTATTAAAACAACAACATTGTAACTGAGAAACACTTAAATGCTACATTTCAAATGTTTAGAATCCATCACTAAATTCATGGAAAACCAATTTTAACATCATGCAATAACACTAAGACGACATTAGCTGCATTGAACTGATCTTTTTAATAAGTTGTACTTACAATGTAGTGAAACATGGGCTTGAGCTTCACTGAGGACCTTTGTTATTCTCAGTGACAGGAAGGCCACTGCAGTTATTACACTTCGTGTTTTGAAATATGTGTAACTCTGTTCATATAAAACCCACTCTGCTCAAACTTCCTTACTTTTCCTAAAATCGGTATTTTTTCTTCTTTCATTAACATAAAAAAAATCTCACGTACCCCCTGCAGTACTCCAACGTACCCCTAGGGGTCCGCGTCCCCCTTTGAGAACCATTGTTCTAAGTTACAGGTTAAATCGATGATACAGGTTTCACTACAAATGCATTTTCACTGCAGAAACTTGCCAGGGAACTAGAGATCAGATCAGGGCGTCCGCGGGGTCTTAAAAAGTATTAAAAGTTGGGTTGCATATATTTTTTGTTATAGCGCATGGTGGATATATTCTGGGGGTTAGTGCTTTCCAAATGTTCAGGGGGCAATAGATATTTGTTGTATCTATTTTGAGTATTTCCAACATGCTGACCCCCCTCTGTGTGTTCTCGTTGCGCTGCAGCACAGAGACGGAGCCCAGGTGCAGCTCCCCGGTGGCCTCGGACAGTAGCGCTGCAGAAAAACAAGCCAAACCAAACCAAGAGAAAAGTGGTGAGTGTTTACCTGACGACAACAACCGCTGTGTTGTTCCCAAACACAACAACAACAAACTCACTTCCCTTTTTATTGAGATGAATACACAACATGTACAAAAGCATTTAAAAAATAAACCAAAAGCACAACATTTTTTCTTTTAAAAATAACTAAAAGTACATAAGAAAAAGAAAACAGCAATTACTTACAAAATATACAAAATTCAAAATACAGATGTAAGCTACAAATAATAACAATAATACAGACAAACATAAATATAATAAAAACAAAATAAAACAAACCCTACCCTCCCTCCCAGACATATAAACACATACACACCAACACACACACACACACACACACACACACACACACAGGCCCTTTCTCATTTCTCTAATTCCCCTCCTCGACTCCTATCCTCGTGTCTTAGTCCCGCCCACAGGAGATGTGAGCGGAGGAGTCGAGGAGAGAGCAGCAGGCGGTTAGAGAAATGAGAACTCCTCTCCTCTGAGCGGTCATTTTAAAGAGACGTCCATTAATGATGACAGGAGACAGCAGCCCTCTGTCTGATGGACAGATGTGTTCATGATGACTTGTATAATATAATTCATTCACAGTGCGGTATAATGAGACAATAACAGGCTACAGATGCAGACATATATATACACACACACACATATATTTATATAAATATATACAATTTCACATTCAAACAAGTATGAGAGCACTCGCAGCATAATAACGTAACACTATCAGAGACTGGATATATGCTTTCTGCACGGACCTCACAGCTGCTCTCACTGTAAACATCGAGTCGCTATGAAAGCAGTTAATAAAATGATATCCAGGGGATGCATGCAGAGCTGTCATTGGCTGAGATAAGTCCGGCCGTGCGTCACGACTCTTTTAAACATCGCTGTTGCCGGGAAATAGATCCGCATAGGATGCATCAGTGTATCCTCAATTATAGCTCCTCCAGAGAGCCTCCTCGATGCTCGATGCTCGGTCCTCGGTCCTCGATGTGCATTTAGAGAAATGAGATGTCCTTCAACATAGAAAGTTGAAGGACGCGCTGAAATCCATTTCCGGGTCACTACCGGAAATTAGAGAAATGAGAAAGGGACACACACACACACACACACACACACACACACACACACACACACACACACACACACACACACAGACACACGCCCTGTCAGACAGGAGTGTATAACAAACTCACTTCCTGTGTGTCTGCAGATGTTAGTGCCTCAGCTGCTGATTGGCCGGTGGGCGAAGGGAAGAAGGCTCCCGTCGTGGCCTCCGACAGCAGCTCCTCCAGGGGGTCCGACAGTGAGGAAGACGACAAAAAACTGTCTGGAGCTCCTCCCACTGTAGCCGTCACCGCGGAGACAGCCGCCGTCAACAAGACAGCGGACCCAAAAAGGTTAGTGTCGTGTCAAATGATCATATAATCATTTAAAACATATAGTCTAATACTCTGATTGCCTGTTAAATTGTATGTGTTTAACGGAGACATACGTTAAGGATTTACATTTCAGGAGGGCAAAAGGAAGTGTAGGTTTTATGGTTTAATGATGGGATGTAGGACCAGTTGGCTGTTTCCTCTCTGTTCCTGCATTTGAGATCGATTCCACTTGCATATTGACTTTCTTTATTACTTTATTCAATATAACAAAAGACAAACTTTGTCCATGAATCATTTATCAGTTTCTCTTACGACACAGTCGTCCAACGCTCTGTATTTTTAACCCTTTTCCTTCTCTCCCTCGATCGTGCCTAGGATGTTATGCTTAGCAGCTGTGTGTTATCGAGTTATAATAACCTCTGAAATGTCCGAAATTGACCAATCAGAATCGAGTATTCAACTAAGCCGTGTAACAAGGGGGTAAAATCATCCCATGTTGACCCGTCAGCAATTAAGCTAACAATAAGCACACCTGTAGTTCATCTGTCATTTTTATCACCTCACTGTAGTATTTAAAGGGGACCTATCATGCAAAATGCACTCTTGTACGTCTTTTATACATGAATATGTGTCCCCGGTGTGTCAGGGAACTCACCAAGTGTCATAAAACACAACCCTCTCTCTTTTCCTCCGTACCCAAATCTCTAAAAACGGGGCTGCAACGGATCTGATCCAGATTTGAAATTGTTCTGACATCAGGAACGAGGAGCTCCGCCTATATGGGCCACTCTCCACCTATCAGGAGAAGACAGCCACGGCCATTGCCGCTCGAAAGCGCTGGAGACGCTGTAGTATATATGCCAGGCCTGTAGGCGGCGCTGTAGTCTTCCACAAAAGCAGCGAAGAAGACTTCTCTCAGATTCAGCCCTTACAAAAACAGGGCTAATAAAGAGCAAATAGACGAAATGAGGCGTGGCTAAAATGCATGATCTGTTTGGTATTTTGAAAACAAAACTTCGCAGACATGTTTTATAAAGGTATGGCCCTACAATATATGTTTCAAATATAGCATGATAGGTCCACTTTAAGTAAAAATACTCTGGCCTCTCAGTCGTTGTGAGCACATGTGACACACACACACACACACACACACACACACACACACAGCGCTGCGTAATCTTCTGGAGTAAAGGCCGTGAGAAACATTAGTAACACTCTTCGGTTCTCCGCATGACTCACAGTTATCCAGGATTGTGTAGGAGCTGCTGAGTGTTCGTGGTAATTCATTTTCTCCTCAGAAGTAAATGCTGATCACCTCCAGAGTCTCTCAGTTTGTCCTCGCACACAAAGCTAAATGCTAAGTGCTTTGTTTGTCCAGCCTGAAATAGAAAATGTTTTGCCTTTTTTGCAGAGGGGTCAAAGGTCGGCTGCAGAACAAAGAGTGAACCAACATGTAGACGAAGTTCAAAGACGCTTGAACTAGCAGCCTGTGTTAATGTGTGTTAATGTGTGTGTTAATGTGTGTTAATGTGTGTGTTAATGTGTGTGTTAATGTGTGTGTTAATATGTGTGTTAATGTGTGTGTTAATGTGTGTGTCCTGCAGTGAGGAGAGCACGCTGTCTCTGGAGAAACTCTCTCTGTCAGATCCTCCTGCTGCAGATCCAGCCGTCACCTCACACACTGACAGGAAGTGAGTGCTAGCTTCATTACATTAAACATGCTATCATGCTATCATGCTATCATGCTATATCATGCTATATCATGCTATATCATGCTATATCATGCTATCATGCTATGCTATCATGCTATCATGCTATCATGCTATCATGCTATCATGCTATCATGCTATCATGCTATCATGCTATCATGCTATCATGCTATCATGCTATCATGCTATCATGCTATCATGCTATCATGCTATCATGCTATCATGCTATCATGCTATCATGCTATCATGCTATCATGCTATCATGCTGTGCTGAAGCTCTTTGGTTAATTCTGAAAATAAGTGTCATTGATTTTTATGCATTTATTTTAGAAATAAGAAGCTTTGCTTTGATGATAACATTAATATGTGATAAGTTACATTATCCCACACTAAAACCATTTTATCGGTTGTTTTGAGGAACTTTTTTTACGCCTGTCTTTTCAAATTGAGACAAAAAGATGTCCACTAAAACACATATTATTTATATAGCGCTTTTCCCAGTGCTCGAAGACTCTTAACAAGAAAATAGGAGAATAAATAACAATAAAACAGTCCTGAGTAGAAGACTGGGTAGAGGATTATAGGTTTATGAAAGCCAGACAGAACAGGGGAGCTTTGAGGGCTTTTTTTTTTAAGATAGTGAGAGTTCGCATTTCGAACTTGATGCACAGGAAGTATATCAAATGGTGTTGAAAATAGTAATTGACAGTTATTTTCCCGTAAAAACATTATTTATTTGTATTCTGACGATAAAACTTGACCCTGTATGAGGGCTAATATTAGCTACATATAGCATAGTGTAGCTTGATTAAAAAAAGGTCTGATTTTAATGTATTTATTTCTTCATACAAGTTTCAAACCCATATTACGAGGAGGTTAACGTCTCTGTGGAGATTGTGTTTTCTCCCACGTACAGAGAGAGTGTTTTGTGTTTGTGTGACTGTTTCCTCTGTCGTCCTCACAGGGAGGAAACGCCCCCCCCACAGGAAGTGTCGGTCAACGGCCCGGTGTGAGACTGCTGAAAATCCACCAGAGACCCCCCTCCCCCCCAAAAAACCACCTCACTGCACCCCCCACGGTGTTTTTACTGAATCACTCGGCCATGGTATTGGACCTGGACACTGCCAATCAACACCAACAAAGAGGTGGTGGAACATGTTAATACAGAGAGAGAAAGATTATTCAGAAACCAAACGGACAGGGGTGCAGAGGAGTCATCTTCAACGCCTTTTTTTCCACGGTTGCACATGATTACGTGCGGTTTTAATGTAGCAGCGATCTTCAGAAGGAACAATCAGAGGGGGTAACATCGTCGTCATCGTTATTTTTTTTAAGATTTCCTCTCCTACTCGTCGGAAGCTGTCGGGAGTGCCGTTTGTTTTGGGGGCTTTTTACACGGTCGGCCCCCGAATGGATAGCACAGGCTAACTTTTAATGATGCCTCAACAATAAATGTTTTATAAATAAAGACTTTTCTTCGTCAGGCTTAAAGAGAGAGCACTTATGCAGCCATTTACTGTACATTATAGCACAATGTAAGTGTCTGTCTCTCACCCACATCGAGGTTTTTAATCTTCATTTCTCTCAAACATCTTGTCGTACGTCACCAGGTTTCTGAATGTCCTAACGAGGGTCAGTGAGGAAGAGGAAGAGGAGGGTGAACAGAGCTCTAAAGTATTACTGTCTTTTGCTCATGTGCAATAATATCAATTAGCCATTTTATTTAAAAATAATTCAATCTAGTGTTTGAGGCTCCTTTTGGTTTAGAGAAATTTGATCTGATTTTAAAACTGTTTTTCTTTGTAGTGCATGTATAACTGTTCTCTGTTGACCTAGCTAGTGAGCTAAGACCTTCTGATTGTATTGACATGTACGTTCTTATTGCTATCCCCCATTCAAAATCAACCAAACATTATCTACCTATATACAAATATTATCTACGTTTTAAAGTAATTTTACAAGCAATCTTGAGATTACTGTCGTCTGTTCCTTTTCTCTTTCTCTCCACCGAGCACGTCTAACTGAGCGACGCTGTATGTTTTTATTTTTTAAAGTTTAATTTTATTTGTCTCTGAGCATCAGGATTGGAAAGAGGGCAGGTCTGGGTTTAATGCAGAGCTGCAGGCCTTTTTTTTTTTTTTTTGTGTACTTCCTTAAATCATCTGACAGCGATCAGGTTCTACGATCATTGTTTGAAAATAAATTTGAAATTAAAAGCGTCTGGTCGACAACATTAATACCAAAAACTGTGTGTGTGTGTGTGTGTGTGTGTGTGTGTGTGTGTGTGTGTGTGTGTGGTGTGTGTGTGTGTGTGTGTGTGTGTGTGTGTGTGTGTGTGTGTGTGTGTGTGTGTGTGTGTGTGTGTGTGTGTGTGTGTGTGTGTGTGTGTGTGTGTGTGTGTGTGTGATTTGTCTCAACATTATTTGTGTGAACAGATAAATAATCTGTCTATAGACTATGTGCGATCTGTAAATGTAAGATTAACTAACCCACATTGTAGGTAAGTTTGAGAAACCGGCTCGAGATACACTTTTTGTTATATTCCATGGAATGCTCTTAACATCCCGATAGCAATGAATATCTGAAGTGCTTTGACAAAAAATCCATTAAAAAAAAGTCATCAGTGGAAGCCGTGGCGCTGTAAAAAGCACGACCAATCATCTGAGCCGGCCCGGCTAAAGTAACTGGATGGCCTACCTGCCTGTCAGCCCTCCATCTGGGCACAAACTGATCTCGTGCCCTCATTGGTCATGTGCGCGTTCGTGTGTGTTGGAGGAGGGGCTCTGGAAGGAAGTGGCAGATTTTTTTCGGTTGTGTATTTTCAAATTCTAGCGCACTCGAGCTGGTTTCTCCAAAATGACCTACCCCACCTTTAAGTATCCATTTACAGATGATAAACAAAACGTGTGTTTTGCATTCACAAATTACAGTTAGAGGTGCCACGGTGTATGGGCGCTGTATGAAAAGTACTGTAGGCCGAGTTCTGTTAACTAATACTTATTATATAAGTACACTATACATGGTTTGGCCCAATTGGCTGCTTCCAATATTTAGTATCCCCACATTTTGTTGAACCAGGAAGCAACATCCCCCCAAAAAAGGTAAACTGACACATTTGAGCACAGTTATTATATTTAAACAAAATAATGTCAAAGCAGTGAACTATTTAGATCAAGTGTGTAATGTTAAATGTTGATGAGGTGATTGTATTACCACGTGTGGCCGCCAGAGGGCGTGCTGGTTCTAAAAGTCCTTTCAATAAATTCTCATTGTGTTACTTTGCAGTTTGAACTCATTCATCCGATGACATGGGCATTTTGAATTGCTTTTAGGCTAATCCCAATATCTAATATGTGTCAATTTGCATTTTACCAAAGAAATTGGTTTAAATATTGGAAACACCTATAAAGCTTAAGCTAATTAATTTCTCTCAATTCAATCCTCTTTTCCCTGTAATGTGACCGATGATTATGGTTTTAATGTCGGCCTACGATTTATTTAAATGATCTGCTTCCTTGCATGAGAAAACAAACCCAAATGTAATTCCACATCAGAGCTAGTGTGTGTGTGTGTCCTAGCATTACTATACTTGTGGGGACCTAAATCTGGCTACACAGTCACGTGTGGGGACTCGACTCCCTTATGGGGACAAATTGGAGGTCCCCATGAGGGGAATCATTCATTTTAGGGTGAAGACTTGGTTAGGGTTAGGCATGTGTTGGTTATGGATAAGGTTAGGATAAGTCTCCAGGAAATGCATGTAAGTCAATGTAATGTCCTCTGAAGTGATGTATACATGGTGTGTGTGTCTCTGTCTGTCTGTCCGTCCGTCTGTCTGTCCGTCCAATTCATCCCTTTGAATTTGTTTCCAAAATGTAGGAGTTGCATCAGAGGCAGTGGTGGCTGATGTTTGTCGTCATCGGGACGCCGGAGTTCAATTTCAGGTTGTTGTTGTTGTTGTGTTTTTGGATATTTAACCAAAACCTCTGCACCAGTGCTGCAAGGGTCTTATTGTCCGATAGTACAGCGCTTGTCCCTCGCTTGCACCTCATATCTTCAACCTCTGCCTTCAATCTGACAAGTTTTGTGATTGAATTTGAATGTGAAGCTTTCATGTTGACTAATTCTGTTTTAAAGAATCCCAAAGTCAGTTTAACACGTTCTGAATGTTATCCTTTAATCGGCTATTATCTTTAGTGGTTATTTGCATAATAGCACACAATATGATTCATTGAAAAATAAAGCAGTGTATCTTTTATGCTCAATATTTGCTTTGATAAAAATAAATCAGTTTTCCTAATCTTGTGTTCGAAGCTGCTTGGTGTTGGGAGCCGTGGTTCAACGTACATTCACTCAAAAAAATTGTACCTTTTAATCCACTACGTTTATACGAGGAAACTGCATAATGGTTGCTTTTACTCGAGTACTAATTTGAATGCAAGACTTTTACTTCTACTGTAACATTGTACTTATAGTATGGCTACTTCTTCCACCTCTAGTTTGGAGTTAAACGGGTTATAATTAGCTCTTTAACATCCGTCTTATATTGCTGTTAAAACATCTCCTAACATTGATTTCATGTTTTATAGAATACAGTAGATAGTAAGGACTGCTCTGCATCTTTGTGCTTCGACTGCTGAAGGTTTACATTAAAAACAAATTACATTAAATGAGAAAATCTGGCCGGTAATAAGACTGCATTTGCACTTCACACCTCCACAGTGACACAGTTTCTGACACACAGAATCCAGTCATCCAGGCGAGGTTAATAGCTAGTCTGAGAAGCAGTCTGGTGAAGAGTGTGAAACTGCACGTATACCGCTAACAGCTGGCAGACAGGAGCAAAAGGGGTGTGTGTGTGTAAGTGGGAGCATGGTCCAGAGTCACGTTTATCTCTTCGTTGGAGGCTGTGATGTCACTACTACAGTGAACTTTCCTCTGCTCAGAGACACTGAAGGACATGGTAAAGCATTGGGTTGAATAAACGTTTCCATTATTTAAAAAAAATGTGGAAACAAACCAACAAGTGGTGTGTGTGTGTGTCCTAGCATTACTATACTTGTGGGGACCTAAATCTGTTTACACAGTCACGTGTGGGGACTCGCCTCCCTTATGGGGACAAATTGGAGGTCCCCATGAGGGGAATCATTCATTTTAGGGTGAAGACTTGGTTAGGATTAGGATTAGGGTAAGGATAAGGGTTAGGCATGTGTTGGTTATGGTTAAGGGTAGGATAAGTCTCCAAGAAATGCATGTAAGTCAATGTAATGTCCCCTGAAGTGATGTGTGTGTGTGTGTGTGTGTGTGTGTGTGTGTGTGTGTGTGTGTGTGTGTGTGTGTGTGTGTGTGTGTGTGTGTGTGTGTGTGTGTGGTGTGTGGTGTGTGTGTGTGTGTGTGTGTGTGTGTGTGTGTGTGTGTGTGTGTGTGTGTGTGTGTGTGTGTGTGTGTGTGTGTGTGTGTGTGTGTGTGTGTGTGTGTCAAAGCCTAAAAACACATTTATGTGCGGTTTGAAGTGGGTGACATGTTTGTTTATTACCATCATTGCACTTTATTTGTATTCAACCGCACACACAACGTCCAAATACTAAAATATCTGGATTAATCCTGCACTGAAAATAGTCCCAAACAAATGCACTCTTCTCTCCAGTTGTAATCATTTCATCGAAATACACTTTTAATAAAACGTAACAATTTAAAATATATGTTTTTTGTGGGTTTTAATACAGGTGCTGATTTGAAATAATTGCTGTATATTTAATGTTCAACTCTATAAGGCATATTTAGTCTTCTGGGTGTTTTCTACTTGTTGCTCACAGTATGAAATTGCAATTAAATGTAGGTGACATGCTCAAAGGCACACCTAGCACTTTTGTTAAATGTGAGCACTTTTATTTCACCCGTCGATGGGCAGTCAAACATAACATTGAATTGGTAAAAACAGACCATGAGATTAACTTTGCCTCCACGAGGACATCTTCAAATCCTTGTGATGACTAAATTGAAAAACTGCAGTAAATATACAAAGAATAGAAACTGAACATGTATTGCGTGTGCAAGGACTTCAAGTACCTGGGCTCATGGGTCAACTCAACCGAGCAAGATCTTAAGGTGAGGAAGGCACTTGCATGGAGGGTCCTGAACGGCATGACCATAAGTGTATGGAACTCCAACCTCCCCCGTCAAATCAAACTCAGCTTCTTCTATGCAACGGTAGAGTCTGTTCTCCTCTATGGCAGTGAATGCTGGACCCTGAAGCCAACCCTGCAAAAGTCTCTAGACGGATGCTACACCAGAATGTTGCAAGCAGTATTTAACATCAGCAAGAGTGTACATTTAACCAACAACATCCTGTACGAGGGAATACCAAGGGTGAGCGAGAAAGTTGCAGCCAGGAGAATGAGACTAGCAGGACATTGCCAAAGGCATCAAGAGCTGCCAGCCGGCAAATTGGTGCTGTGGGAACCAACACACGGGCATCGGTCACGAGGACGTCCCGCACAAACATACGTGGACGTACTCAAGAACGACGCAGGAGCACAAAGTACCAATGAACTGGCCAGATGTATGGAGAACCGGGATGACTGGAAGCGACGATGGAGGGCTCGTCTGAGGACGACCTAGAGAGAGAGGTATGATCCATGTGGGGGGATGGGCACATAAGAGCAGGACATGTGTCAAATTGTTCTGTGTGTGTGTGTGTGTGTGTGTGTGTGTGTGTGTGTGTGTGTGTGTGTGTGTGTGTGTGTGTGTGTGTGTGTGTGGTGTGTGTGTGTGTGTGTGTGTGTGTGTGTGTGTGTGTGTGTGTGTGTGTGTGTGTGTGGTGTGTGTGTGTGTGTGTGTGTGTGTGTGTGTGATGTGTGTGTGTGTGTGTGTGTGTGTGTGTGTGTGTGTGTGTGTGTGTGTGTGTGTGTGTGTGTGTGTGTGTGTGTGTGTGTGTGTGTGTGTTGTGTGTGTGTGTGTGTGTGTGTGTGTGTGTGTGTGTGTGTGTGTGTGTGTGTGTGTGTGTGTGTGTGTGTGTGTGTGTGTGTGTGTGTGTGTGTGTGTGTGTGTGTGTGGTATCTGATCCGGATGGTTACTAATTCCTTTTCTTTATGGCGGTCATGTTTGACCTGGAACACCGTGGGTGTTTCAAAGTTGACTAAATCATCCAAAATCCAACTAAAGTGGTGATCAGCAATTGTTTATGTTCAAATCTCTACTGTGAAGGATATCATGAAGC